CATCACAGAGGGGTCTTACCAGACACTCTCAGTGTGCTATATATCTAGTATCACCCTCACTTGTGATAGCGCCTCTCGCCTCGCCAGTAAGTCTCACTTTGCGACTAGCGACTCGGCCTCATCAGTGGGCACGTCGTACCGCCACAGCTCGTCGCTGTAGGCTCTCAGCCAGGAGACCCTTAAGGGGACTCCTTATTTTGGTTGTCTATCTTTGTCATTGGCGTGCCGTGACAGTAAGAAGCTCTATGACCATCGCATCTTGAATGTAATTATCGAAGTCGGTCGCGAGGATGGTCTTTTTGGTGCACAAGCAGTAAACATACTGAAATCAGACGAAATGAGAGAGTGTCCACCTTAATAATGTGCGGATCACATGTGATATACTTCATATATTTGTTTGTATGATAGGTCCGTGCTGTGCATAGAGCGGCCAGGCAAAGTCGCCTGTATATGAACGAGATCAATAAGCATGCTGAGTGGACAACATTGCAGCGCAATGGAATTGAGCGACTGAAGGCAATGAACGTAGCTTCATCCAAATCGAGACGAAGTTTCAAACATCTTTAAATCGACAAGTACAGCAGATCCATGGTGGACGCAGAAGTGGATTGGCCATAGCTTGTCTCAGTAAGCAAATGTTGCACACAGTGCTTCTTCTGTCCGATTCGACAACTCTGGGGGTTGCTCGCCAATATATCCATGATTCAGAGACTCCATCATCTTATCCATGACATTCAAGTTTCCAATACACTTGCCATCCCATCGAGGTGGTAAAATGGCGCCCGCACGTGCAGCGTCGCGTTCCACTCGCCAGTACCATAGATATAATGCGTGTTGCCAGAAACAATGGTGTGATAACTGCTGCAAGGAGTTAGTCTGTCCATGCGGGGCCGTAAACGGACAATCCACGCTTTAAGAGCTGCAAAGCGTAGAATGTGATGATAGGAAGGAGCAAGAGTAAGACTAAATTGCGGATGACGAACAGTATACCAGGTGGTAATCGATTGCGTGTTGGATGCAATGGCGGATGAAAGAAACCTGTGATGGACGACTTTGCTGTGCGGGGTCGCTATATAACGAGACATACATCGCGAGGCTCTCCGAGTCGGCAATGAACGGTTACTACCTGACTAAGGACACAAAACATCTTGGCGTTGGGACGCGTCACTTCGTTGCGACCCGACAACAGGGCGAGCGGTCAATATGCAGTGCGGGATCAAGCGCAAATTTCTCCGCATCGCCATCCGTCTAATCACGTTGCATTTTTGTGTACTGCAATGCTGTGAAAAGATCCGTAGTGTCCCATTCCGGAACGCGTGCGATCCACGCACGGGCCTGGAGCCAGGAGAAGGCCATCTCTGCGGTACAATCGGAGACGTTATAGCTGTATCGCTGTGGTGAGCCTCCTTGCGATCGAGGCCTGCGCCCAACATCAATGCATCACGCGTCAGGTTCCATTGTTACGGCACATACCGGCCTTGATGGGTCTCTCGGGCGAACTAAGGAAGCGAGAACGTCGACCTGATGAATGCATAATTCTTGAAGTAAACCAATCACTGCAGCTCTTTTGAAAGAAGCGCGGAAGACAACGTCTAGAACACGTTATCACGACGTTTGCCAAACCGCTCCATCATATTCTCCCACGCCCTAGTCACAGACCATGACCAAATTGTAGATGGAGTCGCATGCATTATATTGCCACAGTCATCTTCTCGGTATCTGGCATTTTTTTTGCTACCGTCGTGCCTGTTCGAGCCGAATTGCAGATAGATGTTATGTACGGGATGAGCGCAACTGACACTTACTCTGGGAAGCAAAGTTCTATTCATGTCGACGCTGTTCTTCTCCCTCCCGCACAGTTCCAGTATTGTCAATTCCCGCAGGATATTCATGAGCATTGATGTGGGTCAAGTCTATAGGAGCATAGTCCGCACACCGAGAGATACAGCTGCGGGCCTCTGGCCAAAGTCTTTAATCATGGTGTTGAGCAATGTTTGAGAAGCAACCTTGAGAGACTTGACAGAGTGATGAAGTAAAACCGTAGAGAGCACGACAGAGGCACCTGGACCTAAGGCATCACAGTTTGAGAAAAGAGGGAGCTAATCAAGCAGAGGACAATATGTACCTTTCATGAGAACACTATATCACATTTACCGCAGAGATCAAATAGGAGATCACATCGCTGTTGACGTAGTTGTTGCTTTGGTGGCATAGAGTTATCGAGTGATGAATCACAAAAATAGTACAACCCAAAGAACCGAGCCAGTTTGCGAGATACTGTTCAATCAATTGAGAAGTTGACTAGTTTTAAATATGTTGACCAGCCGCGTCGCCTATCTGATGATGTCCACAGGCTCGCCGACGCCGCTGGAGACATCGTCCTTTACAAGCGTCTGCTCAATAGTCTTCCCACCGAACCAGAAGTCTGACAAACACGCAAGGAGGGTCTCCATAGGAAGGGAGCAGAATAGGGCCAAGATTGAATATTGAGCTGCGGAGAGGATCACTGAGAGTGCACAAGGTGAGCGCCTGGTGCACCTGGTGAAAACCACGTGGCGCGTGGCTGGCGTATGCTGGGCGCCTGCCATTTGACCACCGCCATAAATCTTCATTTTCCTGCTGTTTCGTAAAAGATTCTGTTAACATTTGAAAGAGTCCATATAGTGTGCGCTGACAGACTTGGCACGGACAAACTGCTTTGCGCCTATGGGTCCGCACCTCTTTGTACTAGTAGCATCCGCAAACGAAGTCAATGTGCGTTCTAACTAAAGATGGCTGCCAGGTTAGCCTATATTCTCACATTTTACCGGATATTGACAGTGTCGAGGTTAAAGCGTGAACGTTTCAGGCTTCCGTTGACGAGACTCAATCAAGACGCGAAATTGACGATGAGGTGTGAACTATTGATGTCGTCTATCAAAAACTGCTGACTTACAGAGGAAGTGCTCGTATCAAACCTGGCCTCAGCAAGCCCAGCGATACTCTCTTGGAGGCGTCGCTCGCGATTTTAACTATCTCACGTAGGCAGAACATCGCCGCCCTCCTACCCCCAAACTATGGTATTGCTTTACTGTCGCATTCACTGACCTGCGAGCCGCTCATCTTTCAGAAGCTGCGTACTGTTCTTGAAGCCTTCCTAGCACGAATCGTTACTGCTTGAGTCACTTATTCAGCCCGGCAGCTCGCCTTCGATCAGATTACGATAATTACTAGTAAGTAATCGCTACAAGTCCACTAATGGCACAACAACTTGTTCTCTGTGTAAACTAGACTTTTGCTTAACTTTGGGCAACACCGGCACGTAGCGGGTTTTCTGTACTTCGAGTCCCTTATTACCGAAGTAACGCCCGCTCTCAAAGCTCCAGCAATCGTTGGCCCTCAGCCAATTTGCTAGGCCGAGGACGTATTCATCTACCTGCTCGTCTATCTGTTCTCCCCAAGAAGGAATCCTCTTCAATCCGTCGATGAAAGCAGCCTCAACCTTTTCATGATATTGCACCGCCCATGCCATTGCGCCGTAGAGGTCGACGTTGAACTGACGCATCACGATGGTCAGGATGTTATGACGATCGTCCCCAACTGATTGTTCCTTATTATAGGAGACAATATCCTGAAAGAAAGAATGTTTGTAAGTCTCCAATGAACAGGCCGACGGTCACTCACGTTGTCTAGTACCAGGAGATCAGTGATATAAGTGGCGAGCCCAACCATGGTGGGATGGTAGAATGCCTCGTCGGGTATCTCCATCGCGAGTTCGATAAGGCAGAACGACGGACGAGAACCGATATTCTCTCGTCGATTCTTCAGGTACGCTTCAACCGTGCTGATTGTGTCTTGCTCACGATCGACCGCTTGTACAACGACCGAGTTGAGATATGCGGTGAAGCTCTCGATGAAATGGCGTTGTGAGGTCAGGCTCGCCGTCTTGATTGCCAATTCCCAAAACCTGTGTCGCCAGTCAGAAAGCGCTACACTGGTTATGTCAGACTTACTGTCTCGCGATCTCCCCAAGAACAACCTCTCCTTCTGGACGCGGGTCATGCGGGTGGTTTAGTGCGTCAATGATGACGTCCACCATCTCTCGGCAAGTTTTTGCATCCTCGACGTCCGTGTACTCATCGATGACAAAGAATAGATTCATCAAATCGCATCCTGTTCGCAGATGTTCTGCGATAACACAACATTTATTCAACGCTGCCGTCGACATTTGTTATTTCTGCTCACCTCTGCTGAGCGATGGATATGCAAGAGCCGCGAGACGCCCTACGATCGGTCAATGTAACGAACAGTCTGTGCAGCTTCCGTGTTCTACTCACCAAAATCGCATCTATCGAAGGCATACTGCGATGCTGGGCTGAATGCTTTGAAACTACGGAGCCATGCGCTCGATTCTGCCGCTACCTCCTCATAACAAGGATTGATGCGCCGAGGCCACGGCCAAGCGGCCATGGTTTCTGGTAAGTGTAGCATCTTTGAGCCGGATAGCGAGGGCATGGTCCACGAAACGGTACAGTGAAGCGAAGATGTAGTGGCCTGCAGGACTTAGGACTATTTGGGTGTTGCAGCGAAAACTGCAGTTGCTTTGCTTTTTATATACCAAGAGGCGTTACGCGCTATGTGGTCCCTCATCCCTCGACACGTCGTACGGGAGTACGCAAAGTTACCGGGTAAACGACTGAGACATTCCGTCCACCTCCCTCCTACCCGAGATCAGGTCGTTTTACCAAACGCACAGCAATTATACGGCGCCTTGAGTAGTGGATGAACCAAATTCGGCTAGGTGTCCCGCGCTACGGACGACACGGAAAGCATCCAGTGATGTAATGATTCCGCCCCCCCGTTGAGCGGATTCACGACGATGGCAGCGTGTGAAGTAGGCCCTCCCTTTTGGACGTTCTGTAGCTTCTAATGTTTTGCCTTGGCAGCCGAGCGAGCTGATCAATAAGGCCTGATTGTAGGACGAGGGCGAGACCCTCCCACTTTCCATTGAGTGGCTGAGAAATTACCAATGACGTTCGTTGCTGAAACTACTGCTGCGCGCTATGTGAAACATGGCGCTGTTTTGTCCGAATGCTGGCTGTTTTTGACTGATGCGAGCTCCTTTGGCAAGTGTTTGGTTTCGGCGCCGGACATGTAGCGGAGAGACGCTGATGATGCCATGGAAGCCGAGTGAGGTCGTTACTTGGAGTCGGTCGTTGGGCTTGTTCTGCGCTCTAAGCCGCGGTGGCGTAGGACCCGTGAAGGATGTTCATCACCACAATCAGCATTTGAAGGAGCATGGGAGTCCTATAATGCTCATTATGCCCTTTCATCAATTGACGCCATAATGTTAACGCGTGCATTACGTCATTGTTGTAAGACTCAGCGGACGACGATTCGGTACCGCTTCATGTATCAACCGTGACGCGGCGGATGACTTATGTAACACATGGCATGCGACTCATAATGCAGCTCCGAGATGTTGCAGATGCTCAGGTCACTTGTACATCGTTCCGGGACATCCGACTTCACTGTGCGAGTAGTGTCCGATCAGATGTCCGATAGCTTTCATTTTGCATTTGTCCTTGTCTCTAATTACGTTCAATGCTGGGGCACGGAGTTCTGTCTGACTGTTGTCCAATTAGGCGACATGTCAAGGCGGCATCTGTTTCATCATTTATACTGAAGTAAATAGGTAACTATACGGGTCATGCTACCCTACGTGCTTTTCTCAACCCATTTAGGTGTATTGGCGACTGCTCTGCAGATGTCAACGTCAACGGAGGTACAGAGAGCCGTGCTAGCTAAGCGCGAGCAGAATTGGTTTTGAACGGGAGATACGCTTGTCTAAGGACTCGATTTTCCGAATATTCCTCCCCCCGGGAGGAGCGGAGATCACGGGAAATCAAGATTGATCTCTGGCAGATGCGATATTTCCATCCTCTGGGAGCTCTAATCGCCAAATAATGGAGACAGAGCCCGGCGTGATAAGAATTCCAGCCAAAACTAGGCCAAATCCCCGATCTAAATCCCACGTCTGAATCTCCGCGAATGTTAGTTCATTCCTTCGTGAGTAAGTTGCATACCTCGTGTCAGATTGTGACGGCAATGCAATCTTCGTTTCATATCGGATCAACACCATCGCTAAAAATTAAGCAATAGCATCAAAGCTTCAAGCACCGAGGACGAAGAGATAATGGAACAAACAAGATCATGATATGAGCGCTTAGTCCACATCGAATTCATGGTGCGACTGGCCACGCCAAAACGATAGTGTCTTGCATCTTGCATTTTGAGACCACAAATTCCCCGGCATGGACTCTCTGGACGCACCATTAAAAATACCTTAGCACAATGAGGCAGAGATGCCTCGCATCATCCAAAATACCGTGATGCATGATGTGTCTCACCTGTACAGATGAGCCTCCTTCAGCTTGCACCTCTCTCCTTTTGTCTAGTCGTGTGTTGATCTCCGGTCACCTTGAAGCGATTCATGCCTCTTGTACCGTCCTTGACAGCATCTCCACGAATAAATGAAGCAAATTTCCACCCTTGCGAGGATTCCATCGTGACCTTGTCCCTCGAATCGTAGGACTCGTGACGGCATGTCGAAGGACGAGATGCGTGACGTCGCGACAAACGCATCTTGTCATGCGAGCCCCATCTCCTCCCGCTCGAATCCACCAGCTTGTATACAATGTCATTCATCCCGTTCCATTTCATCGTGTCTGCCCGCGCTTCCCTCATCCCTCAATGGCAGACATCCCACCAGTTTTGTTCTTCGAGCTGCCCGGCGCTCTCCTCTGCCACCCTCCAGTTGCTGCCCACCGTGCAGTTGACGTTGAACTCCGAGGAGATCGAACCCGGTGACGTCATCGATTCATCCCTCCTCCACCATGGGTCCGCGGATTCACCGAGCGATCCCCCCGTCTGATCACCGTACGCGGTCCGATTCTCGCCCAGTTGCGCCTCCCTCGGACAGGCCTGATTTCGCCGGCACCACCGTAGCGAGACCTGCCACAGGACCCTTCCACCCGGCGCGATCCTATCACGGCCGTTCGGTCGAACCGACAGACGCGCGCCCGTTCGTGGACGCTACTCGGAAAGGGAAGGCGCGGGCCCCGAACATCACTCCTCGCCAATGCCGGCAGACCCATCCCGGCATCCGTCTCCTGATCGGGGTGCCTCAGACGAGCTCGATCCTAGTGGTGCCGTAGATACTCTTGACGGCGACGTCCACGCTCGGCTGGCGTCCCTGTCTTCATCCGCAGGAGACGTGTACCGACAGAACCTTTGCAAGCTGAACGAGGCCTTCCTGGAGCAATCCGCCGATTCACTGTGGCCGCTCCCTCCGGTCGGGTCTTCTTCGCTGGCTCCAGGTACGTGTTAACTCGTGTTCCCGCCTCTGTGCGCATTCGCGCCTCCCATATGTTTCCGTGCGCATTCGCGCCTCCTGCGTGCCGCGTTCTGCTGCGCGCATCCGTTCCTTGTGCCTCTGTGCCCCATATCTCTCGTGCCCTCGCACCTCCTTGCCTCTCTCGCGCGATCGCGCCATCTCGTTTTCTTCGCGCCTACGCTCCCCGCCTACTCGCACTCTCGCGCTTCCCGTTACTTCCTAACGCGGCCTGCCGCCGCATGATCGCGCACTCTATTGTGCCCTCACCCTCATCTACACCTGCCCCTCTGGGCCTTCTTTTCTACCTGCCTCTCTCCTCTCCTGCCTTACTCTTCAGCGACAGCGTCAGGCCATATCTAGTCCTCCGCCCTCCCGCGTTACCCCGGCTGCGCCCTGTGGGCCTCGCGTACCGTCGCCGCACGGTTTCCCTGATATGCCGACGGAACTTGACCCTGACCGTCTCGTGGATTTTCCAGGCGTGATTGTCGGATCAGAACGGCTGACACTGGTGCTGCGATGGAAGGTTTCAGACGTCTGCATCGAACGGTGTCGTTGACAACCATTGTGATTTCCAGGAAGTCTTCCTTCCGAATCGGGGTGTACCCATTCATTCCGTGAGACATGCTCCTACATCGCATTTTTCATCACTAAGCGATCATCATACTGCCCGACGGGATCCTGAATCCGTTGAAATGGCCATCTTCGATGGCACGGCGAAGGCACGCCTCCGAGATCGTCCCAGCTTCGTGAGAGGGATATGACACATCGCCTTAGCAACCGGAGTCGCTATGACCAGCGGTCGGACTTGTCGAGGCACAAAGTGAACAAGACATCGCCACACTGAATACCTTCGTCGCGGAATTTCGGAGGTATAGCGGTCTTGAAGCATCAGAGGATACTGGCAGTGTCTCTTCCTACGATGGTGTCTAGTTCTGCTTGCGCTTTGCCTTATCAATTTGGGCAGAAGGCCACGAGCTTTTGCCTTCAGGTTGTTTTTCTAGGTCCAAAAATTCAGTTCTGTCGCATACATTTCTAGTCTTGACACTCCTCAAACATTAGTGGCCATTAGCGGATATAGTGCGAAAGAAAGATTGAGCTTCGTTTGTCCAGCCAATCAAGCCGAGCACACCCATCGCTGACTTTTCCGAGCTGCATCAAACAAAAGATTTTAGCTACAGCATGAAGGCGTATCGAAGAAATAGATACATAGAGAGGTCTATTTACTATGAAATTTATGTTTTACCGCCAGCGCGGAATCACCGCTGTCAACAGAGTAGATGGTGAGATGGGCTAGATAGACTACGATGCAGCAGAATGCTTAGCTTCTCGCTCTATGTTCGTCGTCCTTTATTAAGCCCATTGGGGTCGCAGAATGTGATCATAATTCCAACCGCAATTTGTGGCCTGTCAAATGACACTAACATTGGCGGTGGAGGAGACTGCCAGGGGGACTCCGGGAGGGTATCGGCGCAGAGACGTATGGCCCAACGTGTAGCTTTGCGAGGAGCTCTTCCAGACCATCATACACAGCCTCGACCGCATCAATCTCCATTATTCTCTGATACATCCTGGAGAGACCCATGTTCTCCGCATACCACGCTGGCAGGATCAGCTTTCACGCAGCTTGCCACTTAAAGGTCCACAAGACAAGCGTCCACCCCCATCTGGACGGCTGCATCGTACGCCATATGGTAACCAATCACGGATACTAGGTTCAGATATTCGGGAAGGGACGAAGTGGTTGTATCCTGTACTATGATACCCGCCCGTCGGGCTAGCAGTCCTTGAAGTTCATCGAACGTGCCACGTTCATGCTGGGTGAGTATACCATCGGCGTTGGCTGTATCTGGCACAGCGCATCGTCCAAGCAGGAGTTCAGTAGCAAGCCCTGTCCTCAGTAGTGAATCCTCGTTAGGCATGCCTACGAGGGTTACATACTCACGGATCGAGATTACGACCATGTCTCCTTCCGCAATTGCACCGCCGCGCAACTCCGCCTATAGATAAACAATCGGCGGCGGCCATGAAAAAAAGTTCGCACTTTACTTGTGCTTCTTATCGCCTTAAGCTGCTTATACAAGCGAGTAAGACGTCAATAAGTCGCCATTCAATCGCGGATAAGAAGATTACATTTCTTGTGCTTACGGACTCGCCTACGAATGACATTGCATGTGTCCACATATGCGGGGGAGGCTCTTGCTCAGCGGATGTCAATAAATACAGTATGAATTGAACGAATTACGAGACCGCGCAGTGTAACAAGCAAGGAGAAATAGATATATGATCACTGAGAAAAAGGAAGAATACTCACGCCGTATGAGCCTATGCCGCAATTCGACTAGCTTCCTATGAGCAAAGCGATACCGGAGGTTTTTGCAGTCACCATTCAGTGGCAGCGGACCTTCGCACCACTCGTGGCAGTCTGTGGCCACTTTCTGTTCTGGTATTGATTGATATTGAGCGTGACACGAACGTGATTGATCGACGTGACAGTGTGTGATCCAAGCCGTGACGCATACCGTTTCCGGAGCGCCAGAACTTGAATGCGTTGGAACATTTTGACAAACTCAATTAATGGCTGTCTAACTCAGAATCCAGATGTGTCCTGCATTTTGTCAAACTTTCACGCCCTCATTATCATCTGCGACTAGAGCGGAAGACTGAAACTTTGACCATGTACGGCCGAATGAATTGCCGCGCCGGAAGGTGCAGTGTCACTTTCATCATTTTCTTGTTCGTCCTTCAAGTTCCCGAAAGCTGGGCGGCTCACTCATTCGTACTAGGATCCACAATTTTACTACTCTGTGATAGTCTCGCTACCCGCCATACAAAGTTTTTCGTCCACAAAGAGGATCTGTCGTTTTCTGCATGCGCGGTCTGGTCGCATATGAAACATGAATTTCTCTCCAGCGATACTTTGTCTCGAGTTACATATGCTCTTACTCAAAGGGTCGAAGACAGAGATGAACCAGTGGACTTGGCGAGGGCTCTTTGCCACAGTCTACGCACTGCTCCCCAGTATCTCTCCGGGTCACTGCGCATGTGACACATGACCGGTATTGGCGAACTTCTGTACCGCTATGTCAAATTCCTTTGACTCCGCCTCGGAGCTGTGTACAGTGACGTTCGGCGCGAGAGTGATCTTGTCGTGGTCGGAGTAGACATACAGCCCCGGTGTGGAGCTCACGTCGGCAGGATCAGTGAGCGAAGGCAGCGCATCGGCGCTGTTAAAGGTTGCGCGGAGCCCCGTGAAGATGGGCGGGTGCCCGCAAAGGCTGTTCACCACGTAGAAGAATGCATAGACGAGGGCGATGGGAGGGATCATGAGGAGATGAAGGATTGGGTTCGAAGGAGCCATTAACCTGATTGAGGATTAAAGTCCATTGTTGCCAGTTGTTGAGTCTAGGACTAACGCGGTAGGTATGTGACGCGCTGCTATGTTTGTCATGGCAGGCGGTGGCAGCTTGGTGAGCGCCTTACGGAGCTTTATGTACTGGAGGCCTCCCCCTTCGATAGATGTGAGTGTAATTCCACGTTATAGTTTCAGACTGACCATTCGAAAGGATATGCAGGAGCACACCCCTGAAATCAGATACGACAGCCTCTTCAAGGATTATGCGAGCCACGGGCATCAATAACGCTTCCTATTATCTACCGAGAACAATTTTGGACGTGAGAAACACCGTCTGCAAATGTTCGACGTATTTCGTCAAATGAGTGAGTCTTGCATCCATTGCGAAGGAATCGACCGTCAATGAACGACTCTCGCCAGTTCAAAAGGTATCACGCCGTACTCCAACCGAATAGAATAATCAGTTTGGTGATGCAAGGAAAGCAGATAAGCGAATCATTGCAAGACATTTTATAGATCCGTGACTTACGATGGATGCATAGACACGATATGATCCGTTGCGCTTTGTCTAGCCGCGTAACATGCGACGTGCGAATTGAGCTCGATGAACGCGGATTATGCATTGGCCGTATCGTTTGGATTTTGCGGCGACATACGGGAACTGCCTCAGCTGCTGCTATGCGGATTGTGGGACGATGTTTGTGTCTGGTCGCTGTGCCTGGCGTTAAATCCCGAAAAGACGGGTCCTCAAATTTCACACAAGGTTCGTACTAGCAGCGACGCACCACGCGTATGAGACGTTTCGTCATGAGTGGTTCAACTGCCTCAAGAGTCAAAGATTGGGCTCTTTGATAATGAATCCCAAAAGGCCCGCAAGTGATTGTTTCAGATCAATATCTCTTGATGTATCCCGACGCCTACCCGTCGGTTTCGGCCATACCATTTCACGATAGGCACATTACGTCTAATCTGGAATATCACACAGGTTCACAAGACGACAAGTACGATTCTTACGACTTTCTGTCGTTCTCGGTGCAGCGACGCTAATCATCACTGTTACCGACACATCCTCATTGACATGGGATATTTCTTCTAGCATCGATTGAGTGGCGTCGCCATTTCACACCCAGCTTATTCTTACGGAGCCAATTGCAATGTGATCTGCACTGAAGGGAGCTGTGCATCAATCGGCTGAGTTCAATCACGAACTTGAAACATATTCCCTTGGCCATCTACTGCATGTTGCGGCGTGGCGATTTTCCGATTACATGTTCCCTACATGCTGAAGCCTGTTTCATCGGTCATACATTCGAACCTGACCTCCCACTTTCCCCTTCTTTCGTCAATTTCCGATATCGCACCCGTTATTAGATAGCCTCCACACCCTCATTCTCTCGCAGGTAATATCCCAGACTCCTCACAGTCGTAGCACACTCATGCAAGAGAACTCAACGTCCTCAATCGTCGACACGTCCCCTTCTTCCATGGCACAGGCCAGCCCTCCCCGTGATTTTCGTTTCTGGCTTGTTTTTCTAGGTATTAGCATAGCTACGGTAATCACAGCTCTCGAACTGGTCGGTATCGCTACTTTCTCGAACATGGAGCCGTACATCTGACAATCATCGGTCGTCTGCGCAGTCCGCGGTATCCACCGCACTTCCGACGATTGTGAACGATCTTCGTGGGTCAGACTTTGTTTGGGTTGGCTCAGCATACGCGTTATCTGCAACTGCATTCATTCCTATGACCGGGGGCCTAGCGCAGGTTATACTTCCTGGAATGCGTCCCATATCTGTAATGCTGACTTGTGCTACACAGATATTTGGAAGAAGGATCGTCATTTTGTGTTCGTTGTTTGTTATGACCGTGGGCAGCATCCTCTGCGGCGTAGCTAAGAGCATGAACTTCTTGATTGCCGGTCGAGGTGAGCATATAGCTATAACTAGCACTTGATAATATGGGCTTGCTCACGGATACCTGTGTTCTTATGGTAGCCGTTCAAGGCTTGGGTGGAGGTGGCATTGCTGCGATAACAGCTATAATCATATCCGATCTGGCCCCTCTACATGAACGAGGGGTTTTCAATGGCATTGTGGGGATGTCAGTGGTCTTTAAGAGCTGTAACGATGAAGTCAGCCGTGCTGAGACGTCCTTAGAGCTTGGGCAGCGGCAAGTGGCGTGGGGCCAATCGTCGGCGGTGCGCTAGCGCAGGCAGGCCAGTGGAGATGGCTCTTCTGTATGCATTGCATCTTACAACCGCCCCGCGAGATGCTCACTTTTGAGGAATATAGATCTCAACATACCGATATGTGGGGTATCCGGCATGCTGATGTTCCTCTTCCTCAAAGTTCGTACACCTCCAGGCTCCCTTCGGCAGAAGGTCGCTCAAGTCGACTGGATGTACGTCCATGTCCTTAATTCGGCTCCCATTACTTCATGCAATATGCTGATTGATATCTGCACAGTGGGAATGCGTTCGTTATTGCCTCAACGACTGCGTGCGTGATTGCTCTCACGTGGAGCGGAATACAATATGCTTGGAGTTCTGCACATGTTCTCGTCCCGCTCATCCTAGGCCTCGTGGGTCTCGCTGGCTTCCTTCTCTACGAAGCAATTATCCCAAGACGACCATTAGTCCGTGTTCTAACACTTTCGTAAAGCTCTACCGTCCTGCTAACGCTTTTCGTAGGTTCCATTTGTCTTGATGTCAACGATCACCGGGATCAGTGGATACCTCCAGACGTTCCTGATGCCAATCGTGCTCATGGGCATCATATGTAAGCAACCATTCCACACAAGTGTTCCCGTAACTAATCTCTTGACGCTCGAACGCATCGGCAGACTACTTCCCAGTATACTTCCAAGCGTGCAAAGGCGAGTCCGCCATCGGCGCCGGCGTCAACCAGCTCGTCGTAGCCCTGATCGTGGCCCCGATCGGCATCGTAGCCGGCGTGTCCGTGAAGACCATGCAGAAGTATCGTCCGCAATTGTGGATTTCCTGGGTGTTCCTCATCCTGGGAACCGCTCTCCTTATTGATTTGAAAGAAGAGACACCTAGAGGGCACGCTATAGGCTTTCTCGCTATGGCCGCGATAGGGCTCGGAGGGCTTCTGACAACCACGTATTTCCCAGTACTGGCACCATGTAAGCTCACCTATAGTCCTACATACGTTTCCTAACCAGCAAAATAGTGCCGGTATCCCAGAATGCCCCAGCACTTGCATTCTTCATGTTCTTGCGCAACTTCGCTCAGGTACGTTCAGGCTCCCCCGTTTTCAGTCCAGTCCGTTATCATGATCTTCGTCTGACAGGTCTGGGGTATCACGATCGGCGGAGCAGTTCTACAGAACCAGCTGGAAAAACATATGCCAAGCGAGTTCCTCGCTGAGTTCCCTCAGGGCACAACCATCGCCTACGCGACCATCCCGCTCCTCAAGGACATCTCGGAGCCGCTGCAGACGGAAGTCCGCGTCGCATTCGCGGAAAGCCTGAAGGTCGTTTGGGAGGTGTTGACCGCCATCGCGGGCGTCGGACTGTTGTCTAGTCTGCTTATGAGATCACTTCCGCTCCATACGTATACGGATGATGTCTGGAAGCTTGACGAGACAGAGAAGACCGACGCGGAACAGAATGTCGTATTAGATAAGCTTGCTGATAGCAAATAGGGCAAATATTCGGTGGCGATTAACATTGCATTCTGTTCATTCTCATATACTCATGATACACGATTTACAAAGTTCTGGAATGCAAGACCAGTGGCTGTTTACATCACATTTCGATCGTAACCGCATACGTTGGCCATTATGACAATAATAATGTTCGTTAAGTAGTATTAGCAAAGATGTCCGTAGTAGGATGTGCATGCGACTGTGCAAAGACACCGACAACATTGCAGATTAGCAGTGTTTCAGTATTGCGGTGGTTCCGGGGCCGCTCGAGTGCTTGTAGGTACTTGGACCATTCAGAATGCCGTCGACTATGCAGATACCGTGGTGCTTTTCGTTACATTCACGCTAGCCTCACCTGCAGCCACACGTCTTTTGAGCATCCACTTCAATTCCTTGAAAAAGCATCCGCACCTTTGAAAGTCTTCAAAAGGCCTACAAACTCTGTCCATCTATCCTGGGAGACTATCGGTGCAGAGACATACGGCTCGACGTCTAGCCTTGTGAGGAACTCCTCCAGACGATCATACACGGCCTCTACCGCAGTTACCTCCATTATCTTTTGATCCATCCTGGATAGACCCATCTTCTCCGCGTACCACGCAGGATCGGCCTTCACGCAGCTTGCCACGTAAAGGTCCACAAGACAAGCGTCCACCTCCATCTCGATGGCTGCATCGTACGCCATACGGTGGCCAATCGCGAGAACTAGGTTTGAACACTCGGGAAGGACGAGTTGGTTGTATCCTGTGCTACGGTGTCCGCCCGTCTTGGCAAGCAGCCCTCGAAGTTCATCGAACATGCCGCGTTCATGCTTGGCGAGGATACTATCAGCATTGGTTGTATCAGGCACAGCGTATCGTCCAAGCAGGAGCTCAGTGGCAAGGCCTGTCCTCGCGGGTGAGTCTCGTCGGCCGTGCTTGACAGGGGTTGCATACTCACGAATCGAAATTACAAGCATGTCTCCTTCCGCAATCGCACTGCCGCGCAAATCCGCCTATGGATGACCATCAAGATCGGCGTCGATCCAAGATGAGATCAATACTACATACGTGCATCGCTGATAGCTGATTGACTTCGAACAGTCCTTGCGCACCGCAGCGGTCTCCCAACATCAATTGGGCCGCCTGCGCATGGGTAACCATGACGACCTTGAGTATCGTGGCCATAGCATGACGAATGCGAAAGTCAAACGAGACATCTCTGAATATTGAAACTGCCTTCGTGTGCAGAGCTTGCATCACGAATGACTGTGCTAATACAGTGACGATCGGCGCCTTTTGGGTCTGAAAGCCCATGATGGGTTTCTGACTTCCGTCGCGGTCGACGACCATACGTCGTAGACTGTAGCGAGCCGCTATGTAGGATGAAACCTGCAATGCCGGGAGGCAATTGGATCCGAGTGCAAGAGTACCGACCGCGACGCGGGAGATACTCTCGAAGAACGAAGCTCGGAAATCCGCTGGCTTTTCGATACTACCCAGAAGCGCAGAAGATGGCAGACGGACATGGTTGAAATATGTCATTGAGTGGTTAAGGGGTCGGGAGCCTCCACGTTGAGGGAGAAGCCTAATCATAACGAGTCTCTCGTTAGGATATATATACGCGAAACGTCGACCTACCTACTTGCATATGACCCCGGATTCCATCGTGGTACCATCGTTCAGACGGACTATGAATGGCTTGACACCACGATCCTCATCCTCCACCACAGTCCGCGCAAAAACGACCGCGATGCAAGGAATACCTGTAGGAGAAGTGGGTGGCATGAACCTTGACACCCCGAGTGTCAACGTGTCGAAGTGAAGATCAGATTTCCGCGACGTACTTTGCAGAGGACTCGCTTGGAGTGTGCAGGTCAAACTCTCCATTAGATAGGAGGGTTGCGGTCGTCTCCATGTGGAACACGTTCAGACCGTGCCCGACTTCGGTGAGACAGAACTGGCCTCTAAATGCAATTATATAATGCTCAAATGCTCTTTGATCCATGATAGATGACGCACGAAACGTTAAATGCGAGAACCTCTTTCAATACGTCATTCAGATGAGGTTGTCGCCCGGAAAACATTGCCAATGTCCCGGCGCAAAGGTTGTATTGCAATGTGAGCAGAGACAGCATCGCTCCATCCATCGTGCAGATTGGATCGATATGTAGGTCCCAAAACTTAGGCGACAGGGTGAGGACGTCATGGGCGGTGAGTGCTGATGCAGAACAAACGCAAATCAGTAAAGTACACGTGTCTAGACTAATTCCTACTGACCATACAAACGCCCGACTTGTCTAGCGCGCTCGTAGGATAGTCGTATACGCTCATCCAGCGATAGATCTTCGGCATACGGCTGGAATAGGGCGCTTTGAGCGAGTTGCCGGGTGAGATACATGATGACGTGTGGTAGCGCCAGAGATGTGGGCGGCTTTCCTTGTCGCCCGTCAAATAACGCTAGCGGCAAGACACGGTTTGCGGGCGCTTCGTAGCTCAACGAACGTACAATCCAATGCCAGTGGACTGCTGCCATCAGCAAAAGTGCAAAAAGATTATAAAGGGTTTATAATACCTTGAAAACCCCCCCTATTCTTATTTACCATGACCATTCTGGCCTACTAGTATAATGGATCTCTGAGTTTCACAAGAACCCCCCTATCATTATAATGGCTTGTAAGATCGACCATTCTGATCACGCATTATAATCGTGCCCAGGATGCGTAGGATAGTTTATAATTTTTCCCGATGATTATAAGATCCGGCCTATTAATTGTAAGAATACCATATATTTCAATTCTACTCGAATACAGCAATGGTTTATAATGTGCAATGTCCAAACACTAGAACACGACGAAGAGAGCAAGGCGGCAACAGGTAGGAGAATCAGGAGAGAGACTGAAGTGACATGGCAGCATGATTGCGAGCAGGCGGAGGAGCGAGTCAGAGGCAGGCCAGAGAACAGTGCATGAGAGAGTCGCCGAAGTGCGATAGCTCAAATGACAAGAGGGATGGAATGTGACGGAAGAGGCCAGAAGTGCCGGGACACATCATGCTGAACTTCCAAGGTTCTCACGAATTCAGTCCATGAGTGAAGGAGCAGCGCATTCCTCACTCGAACGTGTTTCCGTTGTGGTCACCATCGATCTCCCGAATAAATTTCTAACTGACCGATCAGCATGTGCATACATCATAGTGTACCACTTACTCGTTCCATGCATTCAAAAAGCGCACGCCAACAATCGGATGCTCAAGAATTTTGCTCCACTAATCCTTCGATACGGTACTTAATCACGCTCACCTCGGGTGGAAAGTGGCTCTTCACCGCGACGATCGTCTCCCCTTTCAGCCACTCAGCAGCTCTTTCTGCACTCTTCATTACTTCCATGATCGCCGCATCTAGCGCGTGCTTCGATTGCTCTTAACGGATGTCTGCGTGCGTCGGCTCTCCTCCGGCTAGTGGTACACATGTGAGCATGATGGAGTCCATCGGTCAAACACGGCTAGCAGCTGGCATTTGTATTTCTACCCCAACGGAGTCAGCAGGACGATCAAGGGACATGGGCGCATCAAGGTGGGTTTGATGTAGTGTTTGAACTGCCTACAGGAGCTCATGAGATGATTCTGAAGTCGGAGCTCTCCTGCGAGCTAATCTGACAGCGTCCTGACTCTCCTTTGAGACCAGGTCACTGGGGATGCCAGGTGCAAGTGCCGCTCATTCTGTAAGTGATGGTGTAAATGGTAAGATGACAGTGCCTGAAGAACCTTACCAGCGCAGTTGCCCGAACTTGAAAGGGAGAAGATCTCTCGACGTCTCTCCCGGGTAGGAATTCTTTGCTGCTCGACTCTCCGTCACGTCTCAGGAAGCCAAACCTGGGCATGTTTGACAAATATAGGTTCGCACAGTTGCAGCGTGGATCAGGCTGTCTGGAAACGGTATCACAGCCTAGCATAGAGAAACGTACATGACAGATTGCTGTGAATCTATAATTGTCTGTTCCATCAAGTAAAGTACTCAGATTTTACATCTGAGGAATGCTTTTTGAAGTCTAGTACGCGCTATGTCATATGGTTCGTGTATTGTCGAAGCATTTTGATCTTGGTCTATGAAGGGTTTCAAGCTTACCTGAGTCTGTTCAAGACAGCGATTGTGAAATATGAAAGAATCAAAGACGGAATATGCTGCTCCTTACCCGAACAGAATGGTAGCAAGCTGGATCGAATACCGAGCACGTAAATGCATGCTGTTCACATCCTTGTGCATGTCCTCAACCTCCTCTGCTGTCAGCCTATATGTGCCGCACCCAAAGCAGGCCAGCTCATCATCACTAAGATGTCATTGGGACTTGAGCATGCAGACACGTCCTCATCGCCTAAAGGGTTTGGAGTTCAGCGTGCACTGACTCGGACAGTCAGGGGCCCACTGCCAGTCTGCTCACCCAACATGCTCTTTCTACATACACTGGGACCCTGGATGACGTACCTGCAGTGATTCTAAGTGGTCTTTCCAGATCCAGGTAGAACTGTGCAGGTATTTAAGGGGTAGCTAGGTGCGTGAGAAATGATGTGGTGTGGAACAAGGCGAGGACTCATCCTGGGGCTGAGATATTACGATCACATGATTGTCACATCACTGGCCATGCACCCCATAAAATTGGCCCAGGTCCCCAAGACGTCGTGTCCTCTCCGAACAGCTGCAACGAGTTCGACTTTGACATTTTCGCACCTCCTGGATAGCACGGCGACTAACATGGTATAGACATGACACCAACAGAAAGTGAACTCGAGCACCAAGACATACCATTGGATGCTGGCCACTTCGAAGACAACCTGGACGATGCAGAGGAGACCTCGCAAGAAGCAGTGGCCGCAGAAGAGGAGGACTTTGGGTATATATTATTCGAAGAAGAGTGGTCAGACTGGGGCAGTGGCGAAGAGGCAGATAAGGACAACTGAGATGACATTGTTCAAGGAGCTGAGTGTCACAGTTTTTACCTGATAAGTCATTATAGGAACAAATGCTATTAGAAGCATACCATTTTTAATCATTTCACGTCGTACAAAAAGTCACGTGACCTAATGAGATAAGATAACAAGGCATCTAGTCACATGACCTCAGATCTCTCTCGGCATAGTCATGTGACACTGAACTCCTTGGCATTGCGTCATATGTCGCAATTGCCATGATGTCATATTGCGTGCTCAAGAGGAGCTCCGTCTCTGCGGGGTATTATTAGGCAACCAATCAGGATAATTGGGACAAGTCGTATGATTGCAGCACGGTCCAGTAGCACAGCGTGTGACTCGCTTATGTAGTACTGTACAGTAGCTAGACAATCATGTATATAAGGACCAGCAAGACGAAGAGAGACCTCAGTTTTATTCTCCTTCATCCACCACTACCATCACAGAGGGGTCTTACCAGACACTCTCAGCATGCTATACATATATTTGCATTCTCACCTTGTGATAGTGCCCTCTGCCTCGCCAGTAAGTCTCGCTCTGCGACTAGCACTCGGGCCTCGTCAGTGGGCATGTCGTATCGCCACAGCTCATCGCTGTCAGCTCTTAGCCAGGAGACCCTCAAGGGGACTCTTTATTTGGTTGTCTATCTTTGTCATCGACGTGCTATGACATTAGAATAAGACTGACCTTTTACGCCCCTACCAAGCGTCTAACACTGGTAGCCACGCATTTTTGCCCAGAGACACATCCGCCCAGGGCAGGGCTTTTTCCACACCACTTCCTTCATATCATTCCACCTCACCTCTACCACCTAAGCTGCTTTCTTCCTTCAAAAGGAACAGTGCTGCATCGACCGGTAAAGGGTCTCAAGTGCACAACGGTATCGTTCCGCCCAACGGACGCTATCATCCTTACAACCTCGACCCCAGACGCACTCGTCATCTGACAGCAAGCAACCTACTCTGAGCCAAGCCCAACGACTATCACTCAGATCTACAGAAGCTTCGCACTAAGGTCAGCTCGTGGGCCGAAGCAATTCCCAAAAATGCATCTGACCCATCCATCCCTATCTACAAACTCCACTGGTGGTCCAACGACGACGCTACCACTGTCCTCACCTTCGCACTCTCAAAGAGTTATCACCCTCTCGGCATAAATGAGAACCCCAAAGGCACGCTTCCAGAGAATATCACGCTCACTGTATATGCTACCATTTAGCGGTACAAGGTCCTACAGCAGCCTTATATCGCTGCCAAGTTCATGGAGGCACAAATCCAGTGTCGCGATCGCATTCTGCGACACCTAGGAGCGTTAAACGAGAGGATTGGGAGAGGCGACGACTTCACGTTCGTCGATAGATGCATCGCTATCAAGCTTTGCGTGGGACTAGAAAAGATTTCATTTAGGGGAATCAACAAGGAGCAGGAGCGCATAGGAAGAGGCATTGTGAGATTTGAGAAGGAGTCGTGCTACTGGCCTTACTAGGATCAGTAATACTTTTGTACCACCGCATACGCAGTTTCATGCCGAGATACACGATCAGCTTTATATACGAAAACTACATCGTAGACTTTTACCGCCCAGCGCAGGGACAACTCACAATCATCTGCACCGCATACTTCATCTATCAACCTCTCGTCGCCAACTAGCAGCAAGTACTCTACCACTACACGGTACAAGTACACACCTACACAAACTACTCGGCACCATTCCGTCTCATCCCTGATTTCGAGGAAGAACAAGAATATTGGCATTACCGAGCAGAGGCTTTACGAGAGGAACTAGTTGAAGAGGGACTCATTGAGGAAGATCCCGAGATCCCCTTCTAAAATAATATCACAAGGCTAAGACCAAGGATTGGTCGATTCACACACTGTCTGTCACATCATTTTCACTATCCTCGACATCGATCCCAATGTCACAATACAACCTTGGCAGTGTTGCGTTCCCAGGAGGACACACCACAAGTGAGCCTACGGACCCCTGGAGGAGTCAGGCCACCTCTGTTTCATCTGAAGCAGGCCCAGCTGCCCCTGCAGAAGAACCCCATACTAGCAGCACACCCAAGGTGTCAGGAGTAGTCAGGAACCCGTCACCCACCACCCTGCCAGAGTTTACCACACCCGCAACTTGGGAATGGCAGGGTATCTCTTATGACACAATCGAGGAAGCTGCCAATGCCGCTGCACCCACCACCGTTCCAAATGACGTCAAAGAATGGGTGATGAATGTGGTGCGAGCATTCATCATGAGGGACATTGTGAGCTCTTATGAGGCACTACGTCAAAAGATGGATGAACGTCATGAGCACACGGTGGCCTCGTTAGAAGAAGAGATAATGGCTCACATTCATGTCGAAATCATGGCAGTAGAAACGCGAGACCAGCTAAAAGTTGCAAGAGCCCAGATCGGCACCCTCTCCGCCGATATAGAACGGCTCGTCAAAGCGAACAACAATATGACGCTTGAGGCCCAAGCAATCCGCAAGGACTTCAAAAATTACAAGGACAAAGTAAAGGGCCAGATGGATGCCCTTTACGAAAACATGGTCACCCTGAAGGAGGCGCAGGAAAAGACCATGACCTATATCGTTGGGCTGGAATCTCAGCTCAACAATACTATAATCAATGTGCCTCCCACAGGTATCCAACAACCGGCCGGCCAATCCAGTCAATCGCCCCACTGAATCAAGCTCCCAGATCCTCCCAAATATTCAGGGAGAAAGTCATCGGAGAATTTTGAGACCTGGTTCACGAACCTTCTCATCTGGCTCGATTATAACCACTTTACGGACGACAAGGACAAAATTCGGCAGGCCAATGCACATCTGGAAGGAGGAGCAGCTCTGTACATGAAAGAGTATGCAATCAAGCTCGCCTCTGAACAAGATGTTGGAACATGGGCAGAATACACCAGGAAACTAGAAATGGCATACAAGATGCTTGACCCCAAGCACATGGCACAGGCAATGCTAGATGCGCACTGCACAACCCGCCACAAGACAATGATCGCCTTCACAGAGAATTTCAGGGCCTACGCCCCCGAATCAGGATACTCGGACGAAGATCTGATTGTCAAAATTAGAGAACAATGGTTGATCCACATCCAGATGGTCATGTCGGTAACAGAGACTCTAGACCCCTCCAAGATTCCAACCACTTGGATGGACTACCTTGAATTCTGCCTGGAGATAGAAATCAAACACCTCCAGCAAATCTTGGGCAATAAGTCTACTGGACAGACCATGGCGACAAAGGCGACCACCCCCAAGGACCCTAATGCAATGGATACGAGTGCAAGGATCACATACGAACTTTCCCCCAAACAGGACAGGTGGCTGACAAACAAACTATGTTTGTTTTGTGGAAAGCATGCCTACGAGCGAGGGAAAAGGTGTCCCTCTTCCAAACCTGAGTACAAAGGCAAACAGTTCCAAACATGAACCAACACTCTTCAAGGTAAAGGAAAGGGAAAAGCACAGAAGGTTCGACAAGTCGAAGAAGAAGGTAGCTCGGATACATCACCTCAAATTGTGGCATTGGAGCAAGCAATTGCTGCACTTTGTGGGATGAGCACCACCTCGACTACTCCCCCATCCAGCAAAGACAAGAACAAGGCAAAGGGCACAGATGCAGCATCAACGGCATCAGCATCAACGGCATCGGCATCAATGGTTAAGGACACCAATGCGAGAATCAACGAGCTCGATAAATTCTCAGAGAATTTTCTGTACGAAGTGTAGACGAGTCTGGCACTACACTTCAGGACCATTGTATTAGTACCGTGAGAAGGAATGTACCTAGCGATCATCTATATATTGCATCTGCCAGTTTTTCTAAACATTCGATCAAATTGCCAATAAAATTCGTATCACAGGAAGTCCAGACAACGGCCTTACTGGATTCTGGAGCATTCTCTTGCTATATCGATCAGAGATTCGCTCAAAGACATGAGTTTAAGATGACACCACTAAACCATGAAATAAGAATCCTCAATGCAGATGCCAGTTCCAACAAGGGCAGCGCAATTACTCATCATGTAGTCACAAGCATCTTAATCGGGGGGCACCGATCAACTGAGAGTTTGCTCGTCACAAACCTCGGATGAATGTCAATGATCCTTGGCATGAAGTTCTTACAGGAACATAACCCCCGAGTTGACTGGGAACACAGAGAGGTCACATTCTCAAGGTGCAGACACACAAAGAAGCAACAAGTCAGAGTAAGCGAGGAAGAAGTCAACCTTCTATCGCAACCTCGACTTGAAGATGAAGCAATTCTCCCCGACGTACACCAGGATGACAGGTGGGATCAGGAAGACAGCTTCATCAACTGGATAGACTTGCAAGACCAGGATCTTCGTAACATGGTGCACGACATCCTCGGCATAAGCAAGAAGGTAAAGGAGCATTTGGTAGAACAGCCAGCAGAAGAGACACAGGACAAAGAATATTGGTCCAAGTTCGTCCCTCCAGAATTTCATCAATTCAGAGACATGTTCTTGAAGAAGAGCTCGAAAAGAATGCTGACACGTAAGTCCTACGATCACGCAATAGATCTTGTCCCAGACGCGGCAACCGCGAGACTGGCAAAAGTATACCCTATGTCTTTACGAGAGAAGAATTCGCTTGATGAATGGATTGATGGGGAACTAGCCAAAGGCTACATTCGACCATCCAAATCTCCATACGCTGCTCCGGTATTTTTCATCAAGAAGAAGGATGGCTCTCTTAGACTAGTCCAAGACTACAGGGCATTAAACAGTGTCATCAAGAAGAACAAATTCTCACTCCCCCAAATCAATGATCTCATTGACGGACTCTCAAGGGCTAGCATATTCACTACACTAGACCTAAGATGGGGGTACAACAATGTACACCTTCACCAGGGAGATGAGGAAAAAGCAGTGTTCATTATCCATAAAGGATTATTTGAACCCACTGTAATGTACTTCGGATTCTGTAACGCCTCTAGCACTTTCCAGGCCATGATGAACGATGTCTTAGGTGATCTCATTCGCACTGGAAAGGTGGCAGTCTACATAGATGACATCATAATCTTTACAGATAACCAGGAAGAACACAACCGTCTAACCAAGGAAGTTCTACAATGACTCAGAGACAATGACTTATTCGTGAAACCAGAAAAGTGTCACTTTGCGACCACTTTTGTCAAGTTTCTCGGACTCATAATCTCTAAAGGGTCAATACAGATGGACTCAGAGAAGGTCGACGATGTGCTCAAATGGCCAATGCCCACCAAGGTAAAGCAAGTACAAGCATTCCTTGGTCTGGCAAATTTCTATCGACAATTTATCAAGGGTTTCAGATCGATGACCCGACCCTTGACTCTATTAACACGTAAGGACGCAGCATGGAAATGGGAAGAACCTCAACAAAAGGCATTCGAGGCCCTCAAAACTGCATTCACTTCTGCCCCAATTCTAGCACTCCCCAACGCAATCCGTTCCTTTAGATTAGAAACGGATGCCTCGGACTTTGCCACAGGTGCAGTCCTTGAACAGTTGGGCGAAGACAAGCTCTGACATCCTGTCGCTTACTACTCCAAGTCGCTCAATGAACATGAGCGAAACTATGAGATTTACGACAAGGAAATGCTAGCCATCATTCGGGCATTAGAAGAGTACAGGCAATACTTTGAAGGACACCCGCACCCGGTTGAGATATGGTCGGATCACCTTAATCTTATCTATTTTTGACAAGCTCAGACACTGACCAGATGACAAGCTCGATGGTCACTTTACCTTACCTGATTTAATTTTATTCTCTGTCACCGCCCCAGAAAGACGATGATGCGTGCCGATCCTCTGTCCAGGAGGCCAGATCATGAGAAGGGGGTGAGCAATGACAATTCAGGGCAAACTTTACTTCGACCCAAATATTTTGCCATCCATGCGATCTCAGCCACTCATTCCTCCGAAGTTGACGATGCAAAACTTCTAGAAAGAGTGAAATCGGCACTACAAGACGATGAAATGACCAAAGGTTACCAGCACCTACTAAAAACTGGCAAGCGAGAGTTCAGAAAAGACCTCCAAGAGTGGAACTTCGAGCATGGATTGCTGCTCAGAAGAGGAAAGGTCTATGTCTCAAAAGACTCTACGCTGCGGAGTGAGCTGATCAAGCTGCATCACGATATCTCCACAGCTGGACACCCCAGATGATGGAAGACACAAGAGCTGATCAGCAGGAATTACTGGTGGCCAGGGCTCACCATTGATGTAAAGAAGTATGTCCAAGGCTGCGTAACTTGTCAGAGAAACAAGACAAGCAAGCAGAAGCCTTACGGACTATTACAACCTAATCCAGTACCAGAGGGGCCTTGGAAAATGGTTACCTGTGACCTGATTATGCAGTTACCATCAAGCCCAGACCACAGGGGAGAAAAGAAGACCACCATCCTGGTGGTCGTCGACAGGTTCACTAAACATGCCCACTTCTACCCAGTAGATGACATGATGACAGCATCCCAAGTAGCATCAATCTTCTATAATGAAGTATTCAAGCTCCACAGAATTCTCCGGCAGATCATATCCGATCAAGGCACACAGTTCTCAGCCAAGCTATTCCAGAAGTTTTGCCAGAAAATTCATATCAAATCTACGATGTCTACAGCTTATCACCCTGAAATGGATGGACAGATCGAATGAGTCAATCAAATTCTGGAGCAATATCTACGCATGTACTGCAACTACCGACAAACTGAGTGGGCCACACTATTGCCCACAGCAGAATTTGCATACAACAATCAAGCTTCAGAATCGACAGGTCTGTCCCCATTTTTTATTGAGCATGGTCGACACCCCTGAATGGCCCCAGATGTATTGGAAGGAGTACAACATCCATCCCTGGAACATCTATTCCATAACCGTGATCAAGCACAGGAACAAGCCCGCGCCGCTCTGTCGTTAGCAGCAGAAAGAATGAAATGGTATTTTGATCTCAAAAAGCAGAATGTCCCTTTCAAAGTAGGAGATGAGGTGCTTATTCGAGGAAAAGATCTTCATGTAAAGGTCAAAAGTCAGAAGCTTACGACTCAGAACTATGGGCCGTTCAAGATCCTTGAAAAAATCAGAACTGTATCTTTCAAACTGCAACTACCAGTGGACATGAAGCTGCATCCGGTGTTTCATGCTTCCAAGCTTATAATGTTCCATCAAGACTCTATCTCTGGATGCGTACCTCCCCCTAATCCTCCATCATCATAGATGGAGAAGAAGAATGGGACGTGGAGGACATCCTGGATTCTAGAGTCAGGTACAATAAAACCCAGTATCTCGTTAAGTGGTTAGACTACGACCACAGCGATAATACTTGGGAACCACTGGAAAACCTCACAAATGTCAAGGACAAAGTAGAGGAATTCCACAAGACACACCCAAACACTCCAAGAGCCAAGCCGTGAACACGCAAAGTGCACAAAATTGCTCTGTCTGACCACTCTGATGAATTCATGTTCTTCTTCTGCACTCATCCAAATGCCCGAGCACCCTACAAGCGGTCCTTAGAAGCTGTTGGCTGGGATGTCAAGTCCATACAAGACATAGACATTCCCCCCACACTCTGGAATGCTCATCGGCACTGGGCTTGCAGTTGATCCTCCAAAGTGGACATACATTCAAGTGGCCCCCCGAAGTGGGCTAGCCCTCAACGGAATTGATGTCGCAGCTGGGGTAATTGACCCAGATTACACAGGGGAAATCAAGGTGCTTCTTGTCAACACGACCAGCAAACCATTCGAAGTCAGAACGGGCGATCGTGTCGCACAACTCATATGCGAACGCTACGCTTCAGAAATCATTTCTGAAGCAGATAGTTCACTCACGAAGTGAACCATTCGAGGCAGCAGAGGCTTTGGCTCATCGGGACGATGAACCTTGAGAAGGGGGTGATGTCACGGTTTTTACCTGACAAGTCATTATAGGAACAAATGCTATTAGAAGCATACCATTTTTAATCATTTCATGTCGTACAAAAAGTCACATGACCTAATGAGATAAGATAACAAGGCATCTAGTCACATGACCTCAAATCTCTCTCGGCATAGTCACGTGACACTGAACTCCTTGGCATTGCGTCATATGTCGCAATTGCCATGATGCCATATTGCGTGCTCAAGAGGAGCTCCGTCTCCGCGGAGTATTATTAGGCAACCAATCAGGATAATTGGGACAAGTCGTACGATTGCAGCACAGTCCAGTAGCACAGCGTGTGACTCGCTTATGTAGTACTGTACAGTAGCTAGACAATCATGTATATAAGGACCAGCGAGACGAAGAGAGACCTCAGTCTTATTCTCCTTCATCCACCACTACCATCACAGAGGGGTCTTACCAGACACTCTCAGTGTGCTATACATATATTTGCATTCTAACCTTGTGATAGCACCCTCTGCCTCGCCAGTAAGTCTCGCTCTGCGACTAGCACTCGGGCCTCATCAGTGGGCACGTCGTATCACCACAGCTCATCGCTGTCGGCTCTTAGCCAGGAGACCCTCAAGGGGACTCTTTATTTGATTGTCTATCTTTGTCATCGACGTGCCGTGACACTGAGGGGGGGATATGAGACCCGAAGATGGTGAGGATGGCATCGAGGATCAAATTGGAGCACACAGATTTGCGCCGTTGTAAAGGATCGTCTTCTTATTTTTTTGGTCTTTGCTTCATAGGCATGAGTCTCGAGGCAATCTTGAGCTCGATTGAATAGACTTGAAATTGGCTCGCATGAATATTGCTTTGGAGGAGAACCTGCTTGAAGTAAATTGGCCATGTTTGTAATCTACCTGGTGCAGAGATTGCAATCCTATGTGATTCTTGAATTGGATCGGCGCAGATTGCTTAGGAAAATAAGAATTACATGGTTTACAATTGTGAAAGACAGTTTACAAGGATTTATAATGTGTTATAGTACATGATAATCCACCCCAATATGCTCAAAGGTTTCCAAGAACCTTAAAATCTACTTTAATATTTTTGCACTTTTGCCAATGGCAGTCCCTATAACCGTTTCTGGGAAAATCGCAAATCAAGTGTGATGCTGTTCCATCATGACATTGACCTTAGCATGCGAGGAGATCCTGATTGTTCTGAATAAGATAGTAGTGCTCATCATTGTTTAGACCTGTGATGATCAACCGCAGAATGACTGGCCAGGTTAGGGAGGACAGTTTTTACAGTTATGGGTTAGCGTCTCCAAGGACAGCCATATTCTTGATCAATAAGAGTAGTGCAGGCCGCTCAAGAATTGCGTGAAAACTGTCAAGCAGCATTGGCATCAGCGATTCGCACACTGTCATCTCTGTCACGGCACGCCGATGACAAAGATAGACAACCCAAACAAGGAGTCTTTTTGAGGGTCTCTGGGTAAAAGCCTACAGCGACGAGCTGTGGCGATACGACGTGCCCACTGCAAGGCCTAGTTGCTGGTCACAAAGTGAGACTTACTGGCGAAGGCAAGGGGCGCTATCACAAAGGTGAGGATGCAAATAGATGTATAGCACACTGAGAGTGTCTGGTAGGACCCCTCTGTGATGGTAGTGGTGGACGAAGGAGAATAAGACTGGAGTCTCTCCTCGTCAGACCTGGTCCTTATATACATGATTGTTATGCTACTGTACAGTACTACCTAAGCGAGTCACACGCTATTCTACTGGTCAGTGCTACAATCGTACGACATGTCCCAATTGTCCTAATTGGCTGCCTAATAATAACCCATGGAGATGGAGCTCCCTTTGAGCACGCAATATTGCATCATGGCTATGGCGTCATATGATGTAATGTCGAGGGGCTCGGTGTCACGTGACAATGCCGAGAGAGATCTGAGGTCATGTGACTAGATGCCTTTATCTTATCTCTCATTGGGTCACGTGATTCTTGTGCGACACAAAATGATTAAAATAATATGCTTCTAATAGCATTTGTTCCTATAATGACTCTGTCAGGTAAAAACTGTGACAATCTCCAACATCATCTTGAATGACACGAGAGATACAACACCATTTTTTGTCCCATAACTTCCTTGCTAAGTTCAGCATAGTATCCTTAAATTCCTCTTTATATCCAGATCTGGAATACTAAACAGCATTTGCAATGAATTTATCCCAAAAAAGCAGTCGCAAATGATGAAATATCTTCTGTTGAACCGTGAACACGGACACAAGTCAGAACCTCCTTGTTTAAGCTTTTTTCTTTGACTTTGTGACTTCTGTCACTGGGGCCATGAGCCCATGATTCTACCAGGAACATTTTAGACACATCATGATAACAGTCACAATGTAACTATAATGTTACTGACAAAAACATCATGAAATAATTTGAATTGTTTCGAGTGCCATTATTGTGGAATAATTGTGATATTGTTTTTAGAAAGAGACCATGGTGTGACAACAATTTGCACCAGCCAGCATTCATACAATATGTTGGCATCATTTTGAATGAAATTTAAGTGTACATCACAAATGTGATCAATGTGAAGTTACAATGAGTGCCAGATGCTTTCCATCATGTGCTGGCTGGAATCATCTTGAATGCATCGAGTATGCCCTAATATGGTTAGCTCATTACCATATATGGTAATGGGATTTATGTGATCACAATGAACCCAGTGGGAACATCTTGAAGACATCACAGTCCCTCATGGATATCATTTAGAATCTTATCACAAGAAACATTGAGGATGTTCATGGAATATTGCTGGAATGCTGCTAGCTGCAACGTTGGGATCTCATTGTTATATCTTTATGAATGCTATCAAAATTGTCCCGCAATGTTGATGCTTAAAACATTCAAAGGGCTCGCAACTGAAAACTTGTAGAAGGGTGAACTGAATAAGCCTCAAATGTTCACGATATTTTCGACGCCGATACGAGCATTGAACATGGAATATTCAAGTTCTTGAGCGCTCGGCTAGATGCCAGAAAGTGTTTGTATCTGTTAGGATCTAAAGCCTTAGGACAACAATCGCAAATAATCAGGCGCTTGCCACAACACGGTGGATCAATCGATTTAATTGTAACGCTCTATATCCGCCGTGCTACCGGCTTTTCAGATGCACAATTTGGAGCATCATAAATCCAGTGCTACATCATTCTAAGGCTGGAACAACCTGCACTACCTTGACCACCCATCATCTCCGACATGTTGCATCTTATGACTCGACTTCATTGATATGCAGTCCAGCATGATGATGGCGCATACCCCGGGCATGGGGATTGTCCGAAGCGGGGTTTTGAAGGTAAATTTGTAGCTTATAAGGGCAATTCTGGATTCTCTGGCAGATCCGACTGCTGGGTAAGACTTCGAAGCGGACTGGTCATGATCATAACGACGAACGCCCATACTATGTCAGCCAACTGCTAGACGGCCCCGTTTCTTTCTCATTGTGCGAACTTCCGTGTCTGGAGATACAGGTCTGGTACCTCTCACTGATTTACCTCCCTTTCGTTGCTCTGCATCCGCGCTGCGCGCGGTACCTGTTGTTTTCTTCATTGACTAGGATGCACCCAATCCGACATTCTGCACATGCTTTACAATCCAATTTCAGAGTCTGCCGTTCCTCCCCTGGTGTGGGACTTAAAGCTGCAATAGGCAGTGCTCGGCGCTCATATCCGGCCATGGAACGCAATTTACTGCTACCCGGTAGCCTTGTCTTCGGCCCTGATGGCCAGCCATCCATTGTTGCACCGTCGAACGTCAATGCTGGCCCGGAAGCCGACCAGCCTGATTCTCAGCAGCCCTTGGATCGCGATGGTCCGGCCAGTGATCTGGGTGCTCAGACTAGCTCGTTCGCAATGATGCCACAAAAGGTAGCAACATTTATTCATATACGAACGGTGACATTCTGACACATTTCCTACTAGACTTCAATCACATCAAGTACAGATCAGATTATGTCTTCCGCTTCTGCATGGACCAGCTTGGCTTCTTCCTCCACTGCATCGACTGCTGCGCAATCCAGTGCGACTCTGGCCACGTCCTCAGACACGGACGTTTCGAGTTCAGCGACTTCACCGCTTCCGAGCACCAGTCATACGTTATCATCATCATCGTCATCTATGTTCTCGCACTCCTCTTCATCGCCATCTCATAGCGTTTCTTCCGCCAACTCCAGTTCTTCTGCTTATGTGTCGAACGCATCCACTTCCGGGTCCTCCAGTCACACAGCGAGCTTTTACGCAGGAGTTGCATTCGCAGGGATAACGGTAATAGCCTTCTTAGTAGCTATGGTGTCGTGGTGGTTGCGCTCTCGCAACCGGACAAAGCGACGCACGGTGGCAGACGCGACTAGCTGGCCATGGGAGAAGGACACCTCGCAAAGAGACGTAGTCACTCAGGACCAGCTCGAGATTGGGGCCAACGACGCACTCAGATCTGAGTACGGTGCTAGCGGGACGCGCTATGGGATAGACTTTTTCCACGACATACCGCTCGGCGATGACCACGCATCCCCTTTTCACGCTCTCACCTCGCAGCCATCGGACTCATCGAACACATACCCGACCGTCCGGCTGAACGGCGCAAACTGCAGCGTCCCCGACCTCGCGCCGAATATGGGCACGCTGCAGGTGGCCAACTTCGCGCCGGGAGACCTGTCCTCGGGCTCGAGCGACGAGGCCAGTCGTGCCAGCACTGCGCTCGGCATGGCACCCATCTCGCGCACCGTCACGGCGGAGAGTGGCGCGCCGTACGATCCGATGGTTAGGGACCGCCCTCGGTTCCTTGGGTTGGATGGTAATGGGCTTGCTGTCCCATGGGCTCCTCTACAACCCGGGAGACAGCATAGCAGTGCGTCACAGATCATGCGGGCTGACGGCATCAGTGAGAAAGACATCGAGACGCTGCCATATCCTGGGGATGCGTACGCCATAGACCAAGGTTCGGGCGGTTGGGCCGCATCTTTTAGGTTCAATATTATCAATGCATTCCATGCGGTAGTCAGCGCTGGAGGTGCTGGAGAGCAGCTCGACGAGGACCGCCTGACTTACTCGTATCTCAGGAAGCTACGCGGTGGCAGGGAGAGTCGCGGCGCGACTGCTGATGTAAACGTTCTGTCCCGAACGAGCACGGTCCATTCGAACATTTCCGATGGGAAAGAATGGACTACCGATGGGGTGGACAGCATACCACGATTGGCCCACGTTCATCTTTCTACTATGCGCGAGCAGGCTGATACGATACCCGTTATGCCTGCAATGGAACAAGTGCAGAGACCTCCAGCCGCTCTTGTCAAGGACACCGATCGCAGTGACAATAGCGTCACAGCATCAGGGCAACAGCTTGGGGGTCTCGCTCGAGCAGACAGCATGTATTCCTCGTCACTGCTTGCAAGGCCGTCAGGCAGGATCAGACCCGACCCACCTCGATTGCCCAGCATCCCTTCAATGTCGCTTTCACCCACAATTTCTTCCTCTGCTCGCGCTGAACAGTCTAACAGGAAGAGCACCAGGATGAGGCGCCGGAAGAAGACCCGTGCAGCTGCGCGTCCTGTCGTGATCAAGCGTGCTTCGTCGTCGTTCTTCTCGGTAGGCTCGGATATGTCTAGACAATCCAGCGTGCGCTCCGAACACTTGACGGATGCTGAACAGTTTGCTAAGAGGATGCTCCGAGAAAGGAGACGGAGGGTCATGGAGATGGGCATAGGGCGGAAGCGTACTACAGTGAGAGACTCAGAGTGCATTTAGAATAAATTATAGTACTATTAATGTATCTTCCCGCTCGAATGGTTCATATGAAAATCCGGCCACTTGTGAATGACTTGGAAAAGGTGCCCTACATCGTGACAGACGCATACCCAAAGCTGGAATCCGCCAGACCTCTAGCAATGAGCGAGAATTGCTGAGCGGCTTCTCGTATGCGTTTCATATTACGAGAGCTGGAAATAGTGTCAGGGAAGGTATGCACCAAAACGTTGAAGTTACCCACCCGAGGACGGCCTTGATGAACTTGTCCTTGGCTTGGCTATTTGCTTTGGAGTCGGCGAACTCATCCTAAGAAGCGATTAGTCGGTCATCATCAACTGAAGTGACACCCACTTACGTGGTGCAGAATCTCCGTCATCCAAACCTTGCTCTCCGCAGGGAATCGCATCACCAATGCCGACAACAACTCGATCAGATTTTGAGTGGCCGATCGGGGTGCCGCCCCTGCGAAGTCATTCAACAATGCTTTCATTATAGAACGACCATGTGTCTGAGCGATCATTTGCTTTGCCTCACTCAGCTCATCAAGACTGCACGTGCGGTTGGTCAAGGTGACCTGTCAACGATCCTGCGTCAGCTATCCGTCACGTCTGGTAACGGATGGTACTTGCCAGGAACGTGCACGCTGCCACAAGCGAGTAACGCTCCTGAAGAGCCAGTGAAGTAATAGCGCATTGCATGAGAGCATTGAAAAGCTCCGGAGGCAATTGATAGAAAGTTGCGACGAAGTGTTGAGCAACCTGATCGACCGCGATGAGCCACTACATGACAAGGTGCAGCACATGCACTCACCGTATTCATACAGTAAAAAAAGCCTTGGACGATGTCTGGGTTCTGCACAGATGATTAGATAAGTCTGAAATGAAGAAAGACAGTGCCAAGAAATACACGCCTCTTCCATGGCACCAGGCTGACCGAGCATACTGAAGGTTGTGTGCAATAGCACATTCAGAACGTTCACGACAGCCTGCGATGCTTCGCCATCGGGAACCGATTTGAACGTTGTCGGTATAAGGGATTGCGGATCGAGTAAAGCAATTAGCATGGTGGCCAAAGACAACCACACAGCTGTCAGTTGCCGTTGAGCTGCCATGCAAACTAATTCGAGTAGGGGCATGGGAGGGAGAGACAGAATGGTGATGTCGGACGGAAGCGCAGTGATGGCTTTGAACAGGCTGCTAAGCGCCTACGAGCAGCTGTCAGCAAAGGAGGCAACTAATTGGTGTGCAGAACATAGTTCTTACATCACTTATTGCAGCATCGGTGGACCACAACTGCATGGTTCTCCGTATCGCATCGAGGATAGTTTCTCGCATCTTGACCATCCGAGGGTCGTCTCTGGCCAATCTCATCCGCTTCGCCTCTTCCTGAGTATCAGGAGATTCATCGAGGATTAGTAACGAGTCTGGAGTACGAGTGAGCCCTTGTGCAACTCCCGAGATTGTCTGGAGCTGTTGCATTATCAAGAGGCGCGCTTCATCGGGTAACTTTACAACCAATTGAGCCATCGGAGTCCATCTTGATCTCAATTAAGAGACCCACCTGAGGCGATGATTCAAGAGTCGCAAAAAGTTTGGAAACTATTGGGTTAACAATTGCCTAAAAGAATCAATTAACAAGACGAGATAAGACCGTGAAGTCAGCATATAGTCACCTCTACCGGGGGAATCGCCTCCTCAGGAGGCAAAGCCTGAATAACGCTGGCGATGGATTGCAAGACCTTGCTCTTCTCCGAGTCCTATCTCTTGCGTGAGACCTGCTCATCGAATACAAGACTATGAGACACACCGGAATACCAGCGATTCTCGCATGCAGTTCACCGAAAGCCGCAATATGAGGCGCCAAATATGTACGATTGGCATCGCACAGATCACGAAGAGCGTTGGCAGCTGGTAGACACAGCGACGGTTCGGAAAGGGCGGCAACGACGTAGGATATCGCGTTCATCAGCAGGGAAGAGGACGATCGGTCGGGCTGCGTGGTGAACCATGATGAATATGAACCTGCATAGAGGCTCAGCTCCGTCGCTATATAGAGACAGCAAACGTCTGACCGATCAGCAATAACGTAGTACGTCGAACGCGATCGCGTCCTGTCACAGGCAGCCGTCCCAGTATGTCCGGTCCGAACAGACGACGTAAATGAGGGTTATCTTCTAGTGGGACAGCTTCCTGAACAGTCATAACACAGTGCAGAGTCGCCTCAATCTCCTATGGGAACCGAGAGTTAGGAGCCGTTTTGAAGGCGAGCATGTTGCATACCTCCCACCCTTGCTGCGCCTGCTTAGATGATAGACGCTCTGAGATGTCGTTCACGTAGTAAGCCAAGAGATCGCTGCGCAAAATGTAGTAGCTATGAGAGGTGTCGTGTCAGATGGATGTACTGAGTCACAAGCCACGACCTACGCATTAATCAAAGTGTCGCCCACATCACGGCGGTATCTGCGCGCTGTTAGACTATTTACAAAGCTACGATGTTTGACCACTCACGCCTGAAATTTATCTCTTTGATCTGTGCTAAGCGGTCAGTTCACACGATCCATTCATATATGGACAACTCCACTCGCCTCTCGGCCATGAACGCAATTGAGGTATCTCAGGCCATGTCACCTTGCGCCGGAGAACTTCCACAAGTTCCCTATAGACCGCTTTCGCCACGCGCAATTCGGCCTGCTCGTCCTTATCCTTCCCACTGTCAACCACGTCTGCATTGATGTCGCTGCCCTCAAACTCTTGCTCATACTCCGCGTTCCAGAGCGCCTCTTGGAACAGATACCAGAAGCCGAGCGTCAGCTCACTCTCCTCCTCGTCTGCGGCATAGTAGCCAGGAAGCCCGGTGTAGGCCATGATCAGTCGAAGGAAGTTCTGGACCAGATGAGACTTGGTTGGTGTGGCGGGCGCGGGGAAGGATATAGGAGAAGGTGGAGGGGGAAGAGGGGCGGGAAGGTTAGGAGAAGCGATGTTCGCGGCGAGATAAAGCGTGGAATGATCGCCGACAGCCACCAATAGCTGACAGAAGGAGTGTGATACAGTATCCACGAAGCCAGCTATCGAAAAATGATAAGTTACTGTACCACATAATTATAGGATGTCACGCATACCACTCAATGTATCCTGGACAATTTGGCCACCATAGTGGTTGAACCACAGCAGCAGTGGCTCGGTGAGAGTATGTGAGCCGGAACCATCTGAAAGCGAAGATCTCGCCATGATCTCTTGCAGGGTCTCTGATGCAACACCAAATATATCATCATCAAACTCCAACGGAGACGTTTGTGTTGATATCGGGCTAAGCAGCGCTATTAGAAGAGGTATGAGCGGCGTGAGGTCACTAGGACAACGTCAGAACTAGTCTAATTCCATCGAGGATGGCCTACCTCCCAGGAAGAATGGACAGCCAGGCCTGGATGCATTTCAACGCAGAAGCGAGCTGCTTGGGAGAGTTGCGAGCTTCTGGTAGCGTGATGCAAGCTATGATGGCCTGCACTACCATAGGGACGGTATCCAGGAGAGTGCGCTGCATCTGCGATCTACTGTCGTGAGACTCAGGCGATGTGCCGACCAGTCTGTAGCACTGACTTATTCGGTGTGAGAAGGTCTGCGCTTTCTACTTCCTCAGCAGCAATCGCCAGGAAATCAAGGAGATGTTCATTTGAGGCTCCGAGAGCCAGCATAGTGTTGACGGAAGAGATAAGCCAATCAGGCCATTGCGAATTGCTTCCCGGACAGATCTTGAGGGCAAGAGAAGTGATCTTGAACCGCGATCATGAGTCACTTCCACGGGCGAAGTTACAGGAGCACATACCGCGACAAACAGCTTTCGCAGAATCACCTTGCTTCTCCCTGCAACTATCGCCCTTCCTGTAAGATCCACCAAGGTATCGCGCAACCCTAGAACACGGTCAGGAGGAAAAGACTCCCTGCAATGGGGGGACGATCAAGAAGGGCTTGTAGCTTAGACACAAAACATAGGACTTACCAGTCTCTTGCAATCTTGACTTGAGCGGTGTGTGCTCCAAAGAACTGCACGTTTGGATCGGCATGCTGCAAGAAAGGAATGACAAGCCCCCACGCCTCCGGTCGCTTCTGGATATCAAAGAGTTCTTGCTGAAGAAGACGCTGGTCGCCCGGAGAGACATTGTTCAGAGGTGCATATGCTTGTTGGATGAGCTAAAGCGACTGCGTCGTATCAGCACTGCAGGAGAATCTCAATGGCGAGACTTGCTTGAGCGGCGCGGTCAACGTCGTCTTGAGAGAGCACCGGAAGAACTGCCGACATCAGTGTTGTTGTCTCTGTCTCCTACAGCAGTTCAAGGTGAAGATTGCTCAAAATCGAGAAGGAAATCGGGAAGAGCTGATACACGGCGGAAATTGAGACTTGGAGAAGACCATCCGCGCATGCGGTGACAGGCTCGTAACGCGTGACTGAGCGCGTTCGAACAGCGCCGCCGGCGCAGCTTCAACATTTCGACTCGCTCTTTCCTCTCCATTGTCGGTATTTTCCGCAACACGACTTTAAACCCAACGCGCGTCACTCGCTCTCCGTGCTAGGCTGCAGAGGTCACTGCGTGAAAGTCCGCGAAAACAAAGTCCAATTATGGAACTGACAGTCTACATCCAACAGTCATACAATCACAAAAGTACAGAACTGAATATTGCATAGTAGTATCCACAGTACACTGATGTGTCAAGCTGCACTGGTGCTCTAAATGTAGAACATGGATCTTCGTAGATCGGGATGAATCCCATTACCCCAATCCTGCTTCGCCTGCTGGAAAACGCGCTCTTGCTCTTCCTGTGTCGGCTTACCGCGACTACGCGGCGCGCTGGCATTCAGCAGATCGTTCAGGTAGAACCTCGCCCTGTCACACGCCAAATCGGCATAGTACGCTGGCGGCACGAGACTGACGGCCTTCGTAGCACGGGCATAGAGGTAGCTAGCCGTGTGAGTGCCCTGCTGAAAAGTGTCGGCGTCGTAGTGGAAGTCGTCGTATACGATATAGTAATGGGTCGGGCGCGCCGAGCCCTTCAGGCCTTTGTGAGCCTACTATTCGCGTGAGTCGCCAGTCTGTTCAATACAACGAGATAATCGCACCTGCAAGTAGAAATCAAACCCGTAGATGTCGGTAATTCCCTGATCGATGACCGTGCCTGGCAGTGTGTTACGATTCTCAGTCTTCCACGTCCTTGGGTAGGGGCGAGCGTGGTGCCGTTTGCCGCAGACAGCGATAGTAAGTTTGGGACGGTAGGCAGCTTTAGGAGAGACACGTTTGAACGCTTCGCGAATCTGCGGTAGCTCGTATCTCAACACAAGTTGATATTGACCCTACAATTATGGTAATTGGTGAGACATCTCGAACAATGAGACCCGTTGCCCACCTCGGAGACACCGTCCCGGTATATGAGAATGCGCTCGGGAAGCGACTTGTTCTTCTCCTTCCAGATATTCAAACGCTCGACCATCATATCCGTCAGGTTCTCCACCATCTGCAATCAAGATCAGTGTTCCAAGTAGCCCGTGTATACTATTTCGACGTGCCTCTTTAGCCTCCTTATTCTCATTCGGCTTCTGAAGCGAGAGACTGGCTGGGTAATGAACGAAGCGCTTATCGATGCTCGCGACGACAGCGGCTATGGATGGTGTTCCCCTCGGGCTGTTGTGACCAGGATGGGTCACGTCGATCCCAACCACCATCGTGTCCATCGCGTTCAGCCAGAGCGCATCTTTATCGTGCAATACGTGATTGACACCGCCTAGCTTGATATTGACCTTGAGCGCGACGTTCGCAAAGTATTGCGCCTGTTTCCGTGTGTCAAGACAGGTCCTCTCATTGAGCACCATGTGAACGGTGTGGAATCCATATTTCACATCGCCGAGGCACTTGATCCCAGGGTACAGGAATCTGTCGACTGTTGGCAATAGAACCAGTACGAAGCTTGGCTTATCGCGGTCTATACGGTTCTGAGTGAAGACCCGGTCGATTTGTTCCATCGCACGACTCCTGTTTTGCTCGTTATCCATCCGTGGTAGTCCCCCAGTCTCCATGATGATCGATGGACGAGCAGGTATAGCCACGCCACATTCCTTGCAGATCCTTGCAAAAGCACCCAAGAGTCTGATAAGCCGCTGATCACTGCGCCCAGTGAATTCGACGTGGTTTCCCTGCTGAACCAGCAACACCGCCCATTTTGACGCGACGCCACCAGCTTGAAACTTGGTTTTTATCAGGTTCCAACTGCCCTCGCGCGGAGTGACCGGGCCAGAGCGGTAGGCGATATTGGCCGCTGGCAGGATACGACTGTGTATGCTTGTCATATCGCGTTCTACGGACATACCGAACGCAGTGAGAGTGTCCGTGGGTGTGTCAGAGAGTAGACCGAGGCTGCTGAAACCTTGATCACGGATAGTGGCCGCATTCTCTTGTGGCGATCGACACGCGATATTGATCATGGTCTTCGTCTCGTCCTTGCCAAGCTGATTAGCATACGGCTGCCCCGAATATATATTGCAGAGCTCCGGTGGGACCAAGACACGCTTGCCACTGCTCCCAATGTCGACGACGGGAAGGTCAAGACGCGTAAGACGTATATTGTATTCTGTGGAATCATGAACAATCATGTGTGCATGGATGGTGTAAGAGATACTCACTACGTCTGAAATACTCCTCGACAGTCACTGTACCTCCCATTTCCTCGCAATCGAACTTGGCCTGCCGAGGAGTTTCTCCCGTGATGCGGAGAATGGCTTTCTTCTTGGTGTAGCCAAGGTATGTGGTTGCGACCTTCAACTTGTCAACAAACGCGGCGGGCATACCGCCGGATGTCCGCGACTGGAACGCAGTCATGGTATCTGCTAGGTTTCCCGGTGTATAGAATGCGCTCATACACACATTGACGTTGACCATGAGCTGCTTGTACATCGGACGAACAGAGACGAAGAACCCCCTCCACGCCTCCAGGCCAAGGCCGAGGGGTTGAGGACCTAATGAGTTGAAGAAGTAGCGATTTCTGCCGAAGCGAACGCCTACGTTCGCAGCATGGTGTTGCATGATGAGGTCCAAGGCAGAAATGAGTAGAGGAAAGTCATCGCTTGTTCTGTCGGCATCGCCGTTCATATACCTATCATGGGAGGGTGAGGATTATGCATGAAGAGAACTGCGGCCAAACATACTGGTTCAATTCATCGGTGGTGAGTTCTCGTTGGTACTTGACGTCGACGGTATAAACGCGAGGGTTCGAACGAGGGACGGTTTCTCCTTCTTCCGTGTACTGCACCTCGATCTGTAGCGGTTGTGGGAGCTCCACAGCGGAGACGATCCTTTGGCTCCTGTCGTGAGCGATATGATGTGCATACTGCACATACTGCGGGTGTCCTTCAAGAATCTGGAATATTCGAGCCTTGATTTGACGGCCAGGACCATCCGACTCGTCGTCGTCTCCCCCAGTGCCCGTGCCGCCTGCAGGCGCGCGAGTGCTTCCTCGCCCCCGGCCAGCGCCTCGCCCTCTTCCGGCGCCGCGTCCTCTACCAGACTTGCCTTGCCACTCGTCTCCTCCTTTCTGCTTGATTATCACCTTGTAGTCATGTATTGTCCGCTTCGTCATTTTGACGGCGAAAAAGTTAGCGTTCACCACTTTGGCGTCTCCCAGAGTGCCGAACCCTGGTCGTATAGGCATCTCATCTCGCCGCTCCAATCGGTTCAACTTGTCCATAAGCTCGTCAATCGTGTCCAAACGCTTGTCGACTACCGCGGGAGTAGTGGAGGCGAAGGTCTGTCCGGGGTCAGGGCCTCCCTGAGCTTGTCCGCCTCTGCCTCGTCCACCACGCCCATACCCTCCTCCAAATGATGGACCTGGATTTCCAGCCCTTCCTCCACCCCGTCCGCCCACGACGCCAAAGGGCCCACCTCCGCGGCCCCTACCACTGTATCCAGTCCCGGATGAAGCAGTAGGAGCCGTGGGACTGGTCCCAGGTGCTGCAGGCGGCGCTCCGCCACCAGGGGTACCAAAGCCGCCGCGAGGCCCTCCTCTTCCGCGTGCTGACCCTCTGCCACGATCGCCGCCTCGACCGCCGCCGCGGCCACGGCCCTGTGCAGTGTTTCCTCTATCAGCCATGATTCCAGAAGTTCAATTGTAAAAATTATCCGAGAGTGTGACGTCTCTGGTAGCGTTCAGCGAGATGGTAGTCAGAGCAAACGAATGGACAGCAGCAGCAAGCTGCGGAGAACGCTTAAAAAACCCCCCCGGGCAAGCGCTTAGCGCTCATGACTCCCTGAGGCAGTGCTTGGCGCCGGGCCCGAAACCTCATGGGGGTTCGAACTTTATACGTGACATTGACGATGTGACACATTTCTCCGCAGGATCTCCCAAACCAGTACTTTTTGCTATTTTATTTCGGCCTACTCACAGCCAGAGACCAAAGATATATTCAACGGTGACTTAGATGACGGCTCGAATGGTGGGCGGCTTTGAAGGAGAGGCCGCTCGCACCGACTCGTATCTCCTTGCGAATGAAAGAGGGGAAACTATAAGAATTTATTTGCGGCACAGCGCGAGGATTCCAGATATTTACGATTCTTAGCCTGTGAAGTGAAAAAAATCAGGTAATAACGTCGAAAGTTTCCAAAGCAGGAACTTACCTGAGTGATGGACAGGTATCGTAATGGTGTTCGGTTAACGTGTGATCTCTTACACATCGTGTAATGTTATAGTAAGTGCGAGGGTCCGAGCGAATGATGAACGCAAGATACGTTTATATTTTTCAGACGCTGCAACGTAGTTTTGAGCTGACTCGGGTCTGCTTGTCTTCAAAGATTCGTTAGAAGCATTGCCTTTCCATCCAGCTGTGAGGCTTCTGGCAAACCGAAATTCGCACTCTCATACCCATCTTGAGGAGAAATGAAGGACACGATGATATGACAGTCCGATCCCTTCAGGATCTAGTGAAAACGCTCAAGTCAGTGTGTTGGTCAGAGACGTGTTCGCAGATCTGCTTGAACTTTCATTTCAGCGAAGTCCTGATCCACAAGCTATCGGCGAACCACTGATAAATAAGGCGCGCGGGATCACACAATTAGGGCAACTCACAAGACCGAGTGGAGCGTATTCCCCTTGAGAGCACTTAAACCTAGCCCGAGCACTCAGAAACGGGCACGTACTCGATAGCCAAGGCATAATCAAATTCCTAGGATAGCGACCGTCACTGGAAGACAGACTGGTCCATTTCATGCATGTCAGTTATATATACTTACCGGTGAGAATCACCATCTCTGAATCTCTGATTCCAGGCTTCAACCGGAGCATATACGTTCTGGAACTGACTCAACGTACAGATCGCGGATATTCAAAAAAAGACGAACGGCTATTGTCATTGTGACCGCGATCACTCCGTCGTGGAGTGCACTTCCAATTAACCACAGTTGCCGATAGCTTCCAGAAAATGAGTCTTGCAGGAACACGGATATGACGTACAACAAGCTCTACAGTCGATGGATCGAAATATGAACATCCCTGATTGCATTTGATGTTCATGTCAACGCTAGTCGGGGAGCGATCACTGCGCTCTCATCCGCACTTTCTCTTTGAAATCGCATGTGATGGCGCCGCTGACTTGTAGTACGTACTAGAGGTTGAAAGTGTGGCGCTTGTCCGTGCCGCCCGATTTTCTTGATGCCACTGCCTCTGTCCTCAAGTCAGCTGGGAACAATATCCAAGATAGTTAGGCTATACCGCTCATCTACGCTCATATATTCGAGAAGTCTGCCGTGATATGTGCACCAATGATAATGAATAAGAAACTTAAGCAGCTCGGGCTAAGCGACATATCTACTCTCCCGCGTTCAATCGATCCAACCATCGTGCGACCTTAATCAAAGTGTCCGTCCTCTCCGGCTCATAAAATCGGATCGCCAGCAAATCATGTGTCCCGTCGGCCACCTCGATGTATGTCACGCCATCCTCGCCCAGGCTCTCCCTCATCCGATCTCTGAAGGTACGTATGACGTCCAGTAGCAGTTCAGCGCCGCCGGCGATGATGAGCGTCTTGGGAAGATTGGCAAAGATGTCCTCGCTGACGTCGAGCTTGAGAGACGCAGGAGAGATCCAGGCGCTCTTCGCGGCAAAGTCGTCGGGAAGTTTTCCCAGCAGGGCGCGCTTCGAGTATCCTGTCGAGAGAATAGAGCCGATGAAGTCCGAGTGCACGTTCGTCTCGAGGGAAGACTGGGGGCCTGCGTGGGTGAGCGCCCAGTCGACTGCAGGAGATATCAACAGCAGTCCACCCAACGGTGGCAGCTGGGGTATGGCAGAATGTGTAATGTATCGTGCCAAGGCAACAGCCATATTGGCTCCTGCTGAATCACCGCTGAGCACCACACTGCCGGGCTCGACGCCGACGTCCTCAATGAGGTAGCGATATCCACCGATTGCATCGATGAGCGCTGCGGGAAAGGGGTTGTTTATGCCAAACGGTTCCGCCGTTGATAAGCGGTACTCCACCGCAAAAACACGAGTGTTCTTTGGAAAATGTTTCAGATATCCGCTGAGAAGGGTACTTGTGCCGATATCCGAGGGATGCGCAGAGCTCATCTGCAAAACAGGTAAGTATACAGATTCAACGGAATCGAGACAAAGTCGTACCACATGGCCTCCTCCTGATCGGACACGGAAGACGATTGCTTAGTATGTTCCCGCATCTGAAGCAAGACCATACTGACCATGCAAATGATAGATTATCCTCTCTCCCGGAGAGGCTCTCTGACCGACTTGACCTCCTGCACCCCTTGGCCCGTACCAATAACCGGCCACCCTTACAGAATGCACTCCGTTTGTCGAGGCTATGTCGCGCACTTCGCCCACAATCAGCTCCGGAGGAGCTGACTCAATCCACACCAGACCCGATTTTGCTGCCTTGGCTTCACTCGATGTACTGTTCTGACCTAGTGAGGTAGCGTACAGAATGTCGACATACACCTTGAGTGTTCGGATAGCGATGGAGCGACCTAAGCCCCAAGAAGATCGAGGACGGAGAGCCGGTAACAGATGCGTGAAGAGCCAGAAGGGCAGACGAGCGAACAGTATTATGATGATGGAGGCTGCCCAGTATATGCTCTTCAGAGGCTGGGAGCGATATGTGAACGCCATCGTTCACGGGTCTTACGTGCATCGCGGCGATGCATTCATTACTATAAGTACGATGACCAATGGTATGACAGATCAACATCACCGGCGGCCAAGCTTCGTAGCGCCCATGAAGCGCCCAAACGGAGTCTGCGATATACATGCGTCTGAAGCGCCGAAACTGAAGCTGTGAAGGGTCGCCGACTGAGTCTTCCTGAAGCTCTGGCCGCACTCATAGGCTACACATGCATTGATCAATGCACATTGAAATCATCCTACAGTCTCTCCTTCGTGATGTATCTCGCTCAACAGTAGTATCAAGACGTGATAACTGTTACAGTGCTCTGAGCGAGATGATTTCCTCGAGTTGGTAGTGTGGATTCATCATATGAAACAAGGCATAACCCATAACATATGCATCCCACATGTCGCATGCGTCTTCCCCTGTCTTCCCCTCCGAGAAGAAGGCGCACCCGCTCTGACGTGGTGGCAGTTTCTTCAATGACTTCTTGCAGGGCTTGCGAAACAGTCTTGCGGCTTGCCTATAAGACGTGCGCGGTCGCATGTGTACGAAATTTTCTCTCCGGCCAATTCCTCGTTGAAGAAAGACAAGATATCACTAGGGATTCCTGGCAGGTCAGTCAAATAACTAAGTGCAGTTCTACACGCTCACTAAGCGTAGTTGATGAATTTCATTGCATCACTGCGTTTCATGGTAAGCTTGGCTGGTACGACGGGCTACGTCTTGACTTACGGTATTGCTCGAATAAATACAGCGACATCTTGGAAACGAGACTTCTCCCAAATGAAGCAGGTATATATCTCCGCGAAACCATCCAGAGCGCGTCGGTATTCGATATACGGTAGGGAGTATTTACTATTTGCCAAGTGCGACTTCGCCATTCTCCACTAATGCGACATTGACAAATTGCAGAGTTGCCGTGAATATGACGGTGGCCCCGAAACGTAGAAAGAGTCGCCACATATCTTCAAGGATCTTGCATAGTTCTCCCAGCATACCTCCATCGTGGTACGCCGCCCCGCTACACAGTTGCAATGGAAGTCTTCAAGGTTGCATTTCTCAAGAATGCAAGGCTCGTCCAAGCAACCGGGATCATCGTGTATAAGGCGATCGCTACTTTTGTATCGATGCTTGTGTGACGATAGGCTATATCAGCGATGAGAATGCCGGTCCTGACATAGCGTTGCATTTCTTCCGTATCACCCCAAGGCCATACAGCTTCTCCAACGCGTTCTATCAGTACGCCGTCCGGGACATATATTGGGGCTTTGAAATCAAGTCTTGCGAGAAATCCTTGAATGCTCTCTTTTGCAATAGTCACCAGGCCGGTCTACATGGTTTTTATCAGCGTAGAGCGGTTATTCCAGTGTGTAGCATACTCTGTCGCTCAAATACTTTATCCCGAAATCCGCGCACTGTGCAGTGGTGCCTTCATTCGAAGCCATGCTGGATATGATAAGGTTGGGGCTTTACATGTCTGCCTGTGAATACCGCACTCACCTAGCGACCTTTGCAACCAGTGTCATGATACAGGGGTGTTATCCAATCATGGAATGATCGGGCAGCTCTCTAAACAGAAAAGGTGAGCCTTATAGCTTCATGCCTCATTCCCGTGGCAGATATTGATACTAGAAACATCATTGCGCTGCTGATTGGCATGTAAGCTGGTTTCCTTGCACATCGCACACATCTGTTGCTGACCGCAGTTTCAGGACGGAGCATATGTCTGCTTCCCGAGCATCCGCGTTCAATGCGGATAGAGATCATTCCTTGAATAGCAGTGCGGTGTTAAGAAATGACATAGCATCTTCTTCTGCGACTTCAGCCCCATTTGGTAAAGAATCTACATAGTCGATGATGTGACACAAGCTCCATCGAACCTATTGCTGTGAACAAAAGGAGCTTCTATCTTCGTATCACTGCTTCACGGTGTTCTATCTTCTGTCTATAGCCGGCAGGAAGCCTCTAGACAGCAAAGTCTGGGATAGCTGAGTTTGCACAGCTATGAGTGAGCATCTTTCCTACGTAGTATGATGTTCACACGATTCTGACATCTCTTCTTTGATCATCTTTCTAGATGCTTCGAAACATCATGCTATTCTCACTTCCGGTGATAAAGTGCCTTTGGCTCGTTCTGAATTTACTTGCATGCTTTTGACTGGGTTTGGTTCTCGTTTGTTCTCTAAGCTCTGGTATGGCCCCTTGCTGAGCTATCATCACGTGGAATCACTTCCCCATCATAGCATCCAATATTTGTGCTTTCCGGCGAAAGAACAGCATTTATGGTTGGTTTAGGCAAGACCCGCAACTGCAAATAAAGTGCGGCGACCGCTGGGCTGATCGTGAACGTCCAGGAAGAATACAGTGAGCCACAAAACTGTTGCAATGTTTGCAACAGTTGCATTGTTTGACTTATATCTCAGGCAATAAAATAGCCAAATATGCAAACATAATATCATTAGAAAGCCAATGATATGAGCTTTTAAATGGCACTTTAATGAAGTAAATCGGCCTATTGGTTGGTGCGATACAAAATACTCTTTACAAAAGATGCATTGCAACAGTTTTGTGGCTGAAAACTCTGAAGACAAAAATACCCCCTTGCAGAAGTTTGTTTGCTTTAAGGTTTAAAGTTTTGATCATGTGATCTTTGTTGAACTTAGCATGAGTTGATCAACACCCAACAGACTGTTCAACTTCAACACAACCATCATGAAGAAGGTTTCTGCTACTCAGACTGCCCACATTCTCTCCCTGCTTGATCAAGGTCATTCTGTCAGACAGATTGCTCATCTGACTGCAGTCTATTACTTCACTGTGTCCAGAATTCACTCTGAGCATCATCCTGACATGCCTACATCTGGTGGAGGTCATCCTACAAAGCTTAATCCTGGAATCATTGACCATGCTACTCACCATCTTACCACTGGTCAGGCAGATACTGCTGTTGAAGTGACCAGACTTCTTCAAGATTTTGTCAACCAGCCCTTTCATGTGAAGACTATGCATACAAAGCTCAAAAGCACTGGTCTGAAGGCTGTGGTAAAGCATAAACATCCTCTTCTCTCTAAGTGTCATAAGAGAGAAAGACTGGACTTTGCTGTTAGCCATCAGCACTGGACTGTGGAGGACTGGAAGAGGGTTATATGGTCAGATGAGACCAAAATCAACAGGTTAGGGTCAGATGGGAGGAAATGGGCATGGAAGAAGCCAGGGGAGGGACTCAGTGATAGGCTGATAGAAGGGACACTCAAGTTTGGGGGAGGAAGCCTCATGATGTGGGGGTGTATGGGCTGGGAAGGGATTGGATATGCCTGCAAGATTGATGGCAAGATGGATGCTGACCTTTATGTTTCTATTCTGGAGGATGAACTTCAGAATAGCATAGAGGAATGGGGCAAAACTGTGGAGAATGTGGTATCTCAGCAAGACAATGACCCCAAGCACACCAGAAAGAAAGCCAGGAAGTGACTACAGGAGCATGGTTTTGAGACTATGGTATGGCCTGCACAGTCTCCAGACCTCAACCCCATAGAACACCTCTGGCACCATCTCAAAAGAAGGCTGGCAGCATATGAAAATGCACCTGGAGGAATTGCAGAACTTTGGGACAGGGTACAGAAGGAATGGAATGGTATTGAGGCTTCTGTCTGTCAGAACTTAATTAACAGTATGCCAGACAGGGTTAGAGCTGTGTTGAGGGCAAAGGGAGGGTACACAAAGTACTGAAGTTGGGAATTTTTATATTTAAAACTGTCAGCCACAAAACTGTTGCAATGCATCTTTTATAAAGAATATCTTGTATCTCACTAACCAGTAGGCCAATTTACTTTATAAAAGTGCCATTTGAAAGCTCATATCATAGGCTTTCTAATGATATATATATTTCTATATTTAGCTATTTTAGTTCCTGAGATATAAGTCAAACAATGCAACTGTTGCAAACATTGCAACAGTTTTGTGGCTCACTGTAGCTCTGATGAGAACTTGTGCTGTCTCCCATCTGAGGCACCAGCTGTACCAATGTCCACCGTCGGAGTTATAGAGAATGAAGAGCATCATGTTCAGGTGTGTGACTGCCAGTGACTTGAGCTGGCCATGGAATTACTCTAGAGACACATATTGCTCACCAGAGATCTGAGTAAAAGCATTCCCAGTGCGCACTATGTATAATTCGATAGGCATTCAGAATATTGTCGGGCGATCATTCCTGCTTTCTGATCCACAGCTAATTTAATATGCTGTATCCACATTGCTTGGAATTGTACTGTTTTTTTCGATGTCGTGCACTCACACATCGCACATCGCAGCTGCTTCTTGCCCTCCCGCAGTTCCGCTTTTGTGCGTCAAACATCACAGTAGCAATGTGTTCCCGTAGTGAAGTGCTATAAGAACAGCAGCAGAAGCATCCTCGCGGAATGGGATGCAGGTGATATGATTTTTGCCCAGATCCTTCTTCTTAATCATCAGCTCTGGCCATGTCATTTGGGGCCTATCTGATAGATAGGATGCAAAGTGAATATCTACATCTTCCCACATCTTGGAATTGGCGACTTCTGTGATCTAGTTCCTAATTTTGTAATCATTTCATCATAGAATGGGAGTCAGAATACCCATGGATGAAATATCATGATGATTAGTTTAGGCATAGAAGGTAGGTGCAAAATCCCCTTCTCCAGCCATATGGACTCCTGTCACAGATTTTCACCACAAAGTCCGCACATGACTTTTCTCACGCCACAGATCACGTGCTTCACCAATATCTCACACCACTCAGCCACAGACGCGACATGTAGAAGATCAGGTGATAGTCCACATCACATGTTATGGTCCAGATCCGTGAATGATACGGTTGGACCTGTCTATTCCAGGATACAATAGAGGCACCCATTTGGGAACAAAGAGAACAAGGACTATTGTTATGCATCGGCCTTCCACTTCCTAATAGTTTAGCCAGAAGCCAAGATAGGCATGATGTTCACACCGGAGAACAAAAGGGAAACCAAGATAGGCACGATGTGCACACACATTACTGCAACAACCATCGATCTTCTCACTTATTGTTCTACTTCCAGACATTCCATTGTTTCATGTACAGCCATTAGCTTATACCTGTAGATAGGTAGCTTAGGTAAGATAGCCCGCTGTATGTGTATATAAGACCAGCCATGTAGAGGACGAAACTTCAGATTGTTTCTCCTCGTCTACCATCTGTAGCATCCACTGAGTTTCCCAGCTCCTTGATATATCTCTAATCCTTTTCCTGCACCAGCCACATTGACCAGTAAATCTCAGGCTCTTGCACCACATAGAGATCAGGGGGATTATTTGGGATCAGGGGGATCAGGGCAGCACATTCCACATGACTGTCCCTTTTTTAGTCTTTTTGATCTCTTGTCTGGCAGTGCCGTGACATTAGAAACAATCTGACAATTTTCTGCACCCCTGCTTAGTGTCTAACACAAGTGGCCACATATTTTCAGCGCAAGCAGTCTCAGCCATAGTGCGCAGCTTTTTTTGACACATATTCCAACCTGATCTCTACCCGGCGTGAGCCTCAGCAAGACTCTAAGCTGCCCAAAGCTTCTAGGTGCAAGGCCACACCCAGGATTGACCTCGATGCTCACTACAAGCACCAAGAAACCAACAAGGAGTGCGGAAGGCTCCTCACTCTCACATCACTAGGTGCATCATCCACAGACAGGCAGCGTGCAGCAGCAAGGGTTGTCGATACAACACACATCATAAAGCGCAGAATCATCCACAAGCCTCACGATTGCACTCCACTGCTCGAATGCTACAAGCCTAGAAAGGGACGCCTCACCACAGGCGGTCGCAAGCTGGCACCACCTGCAGAACTCATCACATCCAATGCAGTCCCTCCCCCCATCATCGCTCCAATCCCAGTTCGGCCACTACTGAACTTCATAAAAACAAACACCGTTGCTCACTCCATTCACCCACTCCCATCACGAGTCAGGCCGACGATTCATATCAAGACCCTTAAGAAGCAGGTAGATGCTACTCGCTTCAGACTCCAACCTATACTAGGAGCATTCTTGTATCGCATCAAGGACGAGCACCAAGGACCGATCTACAGCCTCACTACAGAACTCGACAAGGTTTGTGCTGACCTACACACTGGAATGCACACCTACACATTCATCAAAAAGCAGGTTATCAACACAGTCTGTTTGGAGATAGGAGGGATCAGTTTCAAACAGATAGGAAAGGAGGAAAGGCTGCAGAAAATTGCAAAGGCACTGGTCTTTATCGCAAAGAAGCGATACTTAAATTTTATGTACTAGTTCACATATCTTTACGTCATAATGGAGGAAGCTGATCATGCGTATGCATCCACGTTCAGGCAGAGAATGGATGATATACTTCACACAAACATCGAAATAGCACACAATGGCAGTACCCCACACACCTCGCAGTGCAAGTTACCTGAACTTGGGCTAGGACCCCAGGATTCTGCATCACAAGTCAGTGGACCCACATCCCTGACACCATCACTCCTACCTGCATACGTCCCTCCTACCTGAGAGTTCAATGGACAGCAATTTGAGCATCTAGAAGATGCACTAAGGCAGTCAGCTCTGGGAGAAGTCCCTGACCACATTCGTGAATGGGTCATCATTGCAATGAAGCTCACGGTACACATGGAGGTCGCCAAAGTCTACAACGTGCTCGGCAACAAGCTATACGAGCATAAAAGAGCCTTTGACATGGTCATCCAGACCAACAAGAGTGAGCACCGATTAAAGGAGGCCGTCCTCCAGACAGAAATCGGAAAGCTCAAAGACAGGATCCTCGTGCAAGATGCGCATATGACGGTTCTTAATGACGAGCTATCAAGCACACAAGGGGCAATGCTGGACATTGGAAAAGAAATGATGGAGATCAAGTCAGCTAACACCAAGCTGCAGCACGAGCTAGCTTCACTCAAAGCAAGCGGCATCACAGTAATGCAAGGTCAAACATCCGGTACGGTCCAATCGAACAGACCACGCATCAAAATTGCTGAGCCTCCACACTACTCGGGCAAAGGAAGTCTGGAGGACTGGCTCCAACAACTCGGTATATGGATGCGGTGGAACGAAATCAACAACGATGAGCACAAGATTACCACAGCACTGCTACATTTGGAAGGTGGCGCGTTCACCTACATGTCTGAGTATGCAACCAAAGCAGCAGCAAGACAATCACTTGGCACGTAGGATGACTTCATCGATGCTCTCAAGGTTAACTACAGGACCCTCAACCTGGACAAGGACGCGCAACAACACTTGAAGGAGATCTGTGCCAAGACCTACCCAACAATGGTCTCCTTTGCAGAAAAGTTCCGCCAATGGGCCACCAAGACCAACTTGGGGCACACTGCACTTATTGGTTATATAGCTGAACACAGAGACAAGGACGTACACCAGGCAATGGTAACGCGAGACAGCTTAGGTATTCCCGACCCTACCACATGGCCGGAATATCTCAACCTATGTCTCCAACTCGAATCAAAGTTCAGAGCTGACAAGGCAGGACAGCGCAGAATGACAGGAACATCATCGATGCCATGAGCTCTGAAAGACCTCAATGCAATGGTCGTGGATCGAGTATCCACACTCACCAAGGAGCAGGAAGGATGGCTGGAAAGGAAATTGTGTGTACAATGCAGGAAACACCCCTTCGTATTTAAACAGCATTGTCCAGACCCCAAGTACAAAGGCAAATTTGAAATGCCAAAATGGGGACAAGCAACGAGGGCAATATCCACAACGGTGACATCAAGCAGCTCCGACAACGACAAGGTGAGAGAAGAAGCAGTCTGTGCTTTCATCACCAGCTACGACGCAAAGGAAAAGGAGAAGGAGGCCGAACCGGAACCAGCTGTCAAAGCAGCTAGGATCACGGAGGTAGAAGATGATGAGGATTTTCTTCAGCGGGTCCTCTGAAGTCTGGCCAGAGTTCCCATAGACATTGTAATAGTACCTACTCGCTCTCGCATGTACCAGTATCAAGTTTTCTATACATTGCATCTACTGGTTCATCAAAACATGCGATCGATTTACCTGTTCACCTCAAACAGGGAGTAAGGGAAGTCCAGACTGAGGCGCTCCTCAATTCAGGAGCATATTCTTGCTACATCAACCCACGGCTGGTTGATCAGTTGAATCTCGCTACGATCTCACTTGAGAAGGAGATCAGGGTTTATAATGCAGACACATCTCACAACAAGGGTGGAACCATTAAGAAAAGGGTTCTTCTAAGTATAACCATCAGAAATCACACAAGCAGACAAAGCCTGCTGGTTATTGACATAGGCCATAAAGACGTTATACTAGGCATGAGTTTCCTCAAGAAGCACAACCCAGAAGTAGATTGGGGAAAACTCACAGTCAATTTCACCCACTGCCCACAGAGATGTACACCCTCACAGGTAGCAGTCCAGGAGGAGGACCTGGAAGACACAAACATCCCCCACATCAAAGAACTGATGGAGTTTGTTGGTTCCCAGGAGTTAGGTGACAACTGGAATGACATGGACAGCTTCATTAGATGGGTGTCATTATCAGAAGACCCTGATGCACAAGCCATAGCATCACTCATTATGGGCCTTGACACCAAGAGGACTCAGGATAGAGTGCCACAAAAAGGAGAACAGGACAAAGACTACTGGTCAGCCTATGTCCCCAAACACTTCCATGAGTATGGCGATGTGTTCTCCAAGAAGCAGTCAGAACGAATGCCCACAAGAAAGCCCGATGATCATCCAATTGAACTTGTTTCAGAGGCATCGTTACCACGCCCAGCAAAGTTATATCCTATGAACCTACAGGAAAGAAATTCGCTCGACACGTGGATAGACCAAGAGTTGGCCAAAGGATACATTAAGAGATCAAGGAGTCCAACAGCAGCACCCGTTTTCTTTGTCAAAAAGAAAGACGGATCACTGAGGCTAATCCAAGATTGAAGGAACCTCAACACAGTAACAAAAAAGAACAAGTTCCCAATCCCACGCATTTCGGACCTCATCGACAGACTCTCACACGCTAGCATATTTACGAAGCTTGATCTGAGATGGGGATTCAACAACATAAGGATTAGGGAGGGAGACGAAGAAAAAGCTGCCTTTATCACACATCGTGGCCTTTTCGAAGCCAGTGTCACAGTATTAAGTGGCACCTTTCTTTTTGCACCATTAAAGTCCTCATTTGAGTGGTTATTCGGATGCCAACCTTCATATTGGTCTCGCAACGTGGATACTTGGACAAACAGCACAATGCCGTCACATACATCACGGACATGACTGTGTCTACCACATGACCACCAAGCG